CAAACCCACATACATACATACACACACACAGACAAACGCTACTGAAAACATAACCTTCTTGGCGAAGGTAATAACACAACCTGTGCCCAGATCACAGGTTTGAGTTTCATGTAGTCACCACCCTCAGCAGAAAACGTCTGACCTCTCCCCACGCAAGTTTTCATTTCACCATGGCAACCAACGACCCCCATCACAACTTCCTGACAAGTCTGCTCTCCCTCTGACATTCTGACACTGGCCAGAAAGGGGACTCCTGCCATGCTGTCATTTCAACTTTCTCCTACAAATATATCAGCCTGGGCACCAGACTGTTGCCAGGGCCAGTATACAGGCTGGCTCCTCAGCTCCTGGGCTAGCCTGGGTGCTAGACAGATGCTGGGACCAGTATACAGGCTAGCTCCTTGGCTCCAGGGCTAGCCTGGGTGCCAGACTGTTGTCAGGGCCAGTACACGGGCTAGCTTCTCAGCTCCAGGGCTAGCCTGGGTGCCAGACTGTTGCAAGGGCTAGAATATAGTATTCAGGCTAGCTCCTTGGCTCCAGGGCTAGCCTGGGTGCTAGACTGTTGCCAGGGCCGCTATACAGGCTAGTTCCTCAGCTCCAGGGCTAGCCTGGGTGCCAGACTGTTGCCAGGGCCAGTATACAGGCCAGCTCCTCAGATCCAGGGCTAGCTAGCCTGGGTGCCAGACTGTTCCTAGGGTTATTAGTATACAGGCTAGCTCCTAGAGACCTTGTCCTATGATGACTGATAAGGAACAAGGTAAGATAAAGAAAAGATGGCAACACTGGCATCCTTGCCAAGGTATAAGTAGCCTGGGTGCCAGACTGTTGTCAGGGCAAGGGTATCGGCATAAATATATGTACTGTAGTATACTCATGATCACTGTTATCAATAAAAGTAGATTACTCTCTTAGATTACTTTATTTGTTTACATATTGGCTGTACTTCAACTTCCAGAAACATACGTCAAAGAAGGTTAGACATCCAGGTAATACGATACGCCAAAAAGCAGTTACTCAAGCAACTGGATATGATTTTGAACCGAGACGAAAGATCTACTCTACTCTACTCTACTCATAATTTCCAGAAACATAATTTGTATGTGCAAGCAAACAGGCTAGAAAAGGGTACTCCTTGGAACAAGTTGTCATACATTGTACCTGCTACAATTGCCATGTAATAAAGTTCTTCTTCTACTTTAATATAAGCAAACAAATCATACATACAGGAATACATAAATTCCGGCCACATAAAGAAGTTTTTACCGACAGTCTTTTGAAAGGTAAACGAGTAATTGGAGATCCAGACTGTATCGGAAGCGGGCACACTACACTTATCTGGAGTAGACGCCGGTTGCACCCGACAAGGTCCCTCCGGACTTTAGCTCAACAAATAACGGGATACAAAACAGCTCTATACAGACACTACACGACCCCGAAAAACCACAATGACCAATCCACAAGCAAGGCAAACGACTTCTAGTACGAAGCAGGAACACTGTCAAAAATACGATATATATATTTAAAATACATACAATTGTAAAACATATATGTTTAATAAGAATATATATACACTTTTCAAAACAATATATGTATAGTAAATACATACAATTGTAAAACATATAAACTTAAAAAGAAAATAGATATACATTTTTCAAAACAATATATATATATCTTAAATACATATAATTCCAAAACATATATTGTTCACATAAAGTGGTGTTCCCAAAACCCCTAACATATGAAAACATATATTGTTCACAAAAAGTGGTGTTTCCAAAACCCCTATCATATGAAACATGTTGTTCACAAAAAGTGGTGCTTCCAAAACCCCTATCATATGAAAACATGTTGTTCACAAAAGGTGTTTCCAAAACCCCTATCATATGAAAACAGGAAGTGGTGTTTCCAAAACCCCTATCATTTCTAAACCTATATATGTTTTCAGTGCACGCGGTAACACTGTCAAATCTCTCACCAGAGTTTCTAGCATGGGTGACCACACTACTTTTGTGGGGGTGAGAGAGAAAAAACAGATTTTTTTCGCCAAGGTTCTTCCCCTCTTGTCCAGTAATTCTTAAAGCTACGCGTAATTAATTTTCATTCCAAAAAGCCTTTTCATCCTTGTATTTTGGTCAGATCTTTGCATACAAGTCACACTAAAAATAGGGGGCGCCAAGGATTGTTACAGAGTAGATCCTTCCGATCAGAACTCTTCCTTTCGCAAATCTCTGCCGTCCGCGGCTTTAGTGGCCCCTCGGGGGCCGGCTGGATGTAGTCTCCACCAGACTTCTTTTGCGGGGTGAATAAATCGTAGAAATCGGCCTAAAAAGTATTAATTGGCCAAAGAAGGTAGCCGGCCAGAGAAGCTCCATTTCCCTGTCGAGCCTTTTTAGGCCAATTTCTACGATTTATTCACCCCGCAAAAGAAGTCTGGTAGAGACTACACAAACTCTGCGGGAAGGGCCAGAGTTTGCGTTACACAGACTAGATGTACTTATTAGCGTAATTAGCAACAATGTGTTAACTTTTGTACACAAAAACATGTAATTAAAGACCTTTGTGGCAAACTGTTTGATCCTAAGATCCTGAAAATTTTAAGATTGTGGCATGGAAAGTTTAAGAGTTACAATAAAATGTATGTCAAATATTGTTGATTTACGGTCTCTTTTGGTGCCATGACTAGCTTAGAGTCAATTCCGTGTCACCGTGTGGCTTCTTTCTCCATGTTTGTAAGAAAAGAATACCCCAGTAACAAAAGTTCTAAATTTTTTAAAAATTTGAAAATTAAAATTTGAATATTATTAGATATTTCTGAAACATTTTGAAAGTGGCTGTACAAAGATCTCTTTATTTAGAATAGATTTGAGCTATCCGTGTGTTTCTTTCACTATTTGAAATATTTCAAACAAATAACCAGATGGTAGATGTGGGTAATTGCCCCACAAAAGTAGGTGCTAATCCGACTCTTCTGTCTTCTTCTGTATATTTTTAGATTTCGCTGGACACTGGTGGCTCTTTTGTTGTAAGGCTAGGCATCAATGCCTGACACCCAGGCAGACTAGCCTGTACTTCACAGGGATGTGTGAATTACTTCCTCCCAGCCCACTGACCTTTTTACAAAATGTTAGAAATAATGGTAAAAAATGGTAGATATTTTTTAGAAACTATTGGAAATGTCATATTCCACATCAGGAATATTTTTAAACATTTTACAAAACCAGGGAATTATTTAGAATCTTGAAAAGATATTCAAAATGTTTCCATATCATGAAATTTCTTAGACAAACAATAACAAAGAATTCAAAACATTTCTAAATAATGACAATAACAACCCACACGGTGACGCAGAATTGACTCTATTCCCATATAACCAATGGCAACACTTGAGCATCTTCTGATGAAACCGTCAAAAGTGTAAACTTTAAAAAATTCTAGAAAATCTCAACTTTTATGCGAAAGGAAGAGTTCTGATCGGAAGAATCTACTCTGTAACAATCCTTGGCCTTGGCGCCCCCTATTTTTAGTGTGACTTATATGCAAAGATCTGACCAAAATACAAGAATGAAAAGGCTTTTTGGAATGAAAATTAATTACGCGTAGCTTTAAGAATCACTGGACAAGAGGGGAAGAACCTTGGCGAAAAAAATCTTTTTTTTTCTCTCTCACCCCCACAAAAGTAGTGTGGTCGCCCATGCTAGAAACTCTGGTGAGAGATTTGACAGTGTTACCGCGTGCACTGAAAACATATATAGGTTTAGAAACGATAGGGGTTTTGGAAACACCACTTCCTGTTTTCATATGATAGGGGTTTTGGAAACACCACTTTTTGTGAACAACATGTTTTCATATGATAGGGGTTTTGGAAACACCACTTTTTGTGAACAATATATGTTTTCATATGCTAGGGGTTTTGGGAACACCACTTTATGTGAACAATATATGTTTTGGAATTATATGTATTTAAGATCTATATATTGTTTTGAAAAATGTATATATATTTTCTTTTTAAGTATATATGTTTTACAATTGTATGTATTTACTATACATATATTGTTTTGAAAAGTGTATATATATTCTTATTAAACATATATGTTTTACAATTGTATGTATTTTAAATATATATATCGTATTTTTGACAGTGTTCCTGCTTCGTATTCTAGGTACTCACCGGGGCAGAAAGAGCAAATTTACCTAAACGATAGCCCGCTTGTTTTGTCAACTTGTCGATAACATGGTCTCCCAACAAATATTTGATACTTCAGTGACTTGAAAACTAGACTTGACAAGAGGGAAGTGGTATAGATATGGCCTCGAATTGTATAGAAATATATCAATTAACTATTACAAGAGGGGTGATAGTCGCCTTTTGTTTGGTCAGCACGAACTTGTTTGTTTTTCTTTCAAATACTACTTAGCAATTCCGGACGATCAATTACAATAACAATAGAGCGATTTCACAACCAAAAGGGCGCAACAGCGGGCAAAAGAAAAGGTATTTGAGCCCTTGCAACGCTTGGAAGTCGCCGTGAAACTTGAGTAAACTAGCAGAGACAAACAAAAAGCAGCCAGACGACACTCTTTTTTTCGGATGTCAGTTCTGCAAGCTTTCGCAAGCAAATTGTGCACATAAATAAAAGTTCTGACAATGAAAAATTGTCCACCACTCGAAACGAGGTCACAAATGTCATTATGACCGGGTCTCTGTTGTCAAATATGTTGACACCGCCCTTATTTATTTAATTATCCAGTACTAGTAGTACGTTATCTCTTTTTTAACATCCCAACAACAAAAAGGTCTTTAAAAAATATATATGAAGGATTGTATATGTTGCCTGTCTTGAGCGTTGTAATTTGTAAAAATTTGGCACGCAAACTTTTTGCAATTCAGCTCAGGGAGTCGCATCCCTGCTGTAAGGTTTGCTTTTTGTTGTCACGAATAAAGATCAAGAAAATATAATATAATATTTGAGATGTGAGAAAGTTAATAAAATTTGACTTACAGTATGGTGGTGGTAGGCGCCACTTGCGGGATGCGGTCCAGTTGAAGGTGCATGCACCTCACCGTCGTCCGGAAACAGAGGCATCGGGAGGGACAAGCTTCGCTCCCCGAGGGAACAAGCGCCAACACTGCGGTGGCCAGCACGAGCCCGACTCCTCCTACTCCCAACATGCTGGCTTCAAGATGTTCTTCTTAGACTTGACCTCCACTTCTTGAGTGAACCAGCTATAAATCCAAGGAGGGCACGATCCTGGAAGAACTCTTGGCTTGACTTGAGACCCAGAGAGTTACCGAGTCACACACACTACACACACACGGCTGGTAGGAATCCAGAAAATTGACACAATCACTTCGCACCCAACAACAAAGATGTAAATTGTGGAAACCCCAAACTAAACTCCAGCGAACTGCAAGCCAGCACAGGCCTGCAGCTGCAAATTTACGTACTGCAGTAACCTACAGCGCCTCTTGCGAACGTAAAATCCGAGCTGGAAAATAATTTGAAGCCGCCAGAGTCAAGAAGGAACGGTCTGCGCCGCCCACAGATGTTTCTCAGCGAGTTCAAAATTTCTCCACGAACAAGAAAGTCGTCAGGTAAAAGAAAAGGTTGCGCCCGCTGGCAGTTAGTCGGTCTCTGGTTGCGTGGGTGGAGTTTAGAGTTGGAGAGAAGACTGCACTGGACTGCACTAGAATGTGAGCCTGGTCCTTGTTGTTGTATCTTTGCAACACTGTATCTGTTTGGAATCCTGGTTCCCAGCGGGATACGTTGCGTTGTGACCGCAAGTCAACCCTGGCCTTGCTAGAGCTGGCTGGAGGCACCGCTAGCTGACTGCCCTCTCTCTCTTCGAGCCCTCGCCGGTCAGTCAAACGATAATTTTCCTAGCGGCCTGAGTCACCAAAACCGCAGACCACAGTTGAGCAAGTCTACGGGGGATCTTCGAAGCTTGGACAGGATTTCTGCGGCGAAAAACGGGACCGAATCGGCAACAAAGGAGAGTGGAAGTCTGGTGGAGTAGAGCGGGACCGTACGGGACTACCCCGGCACCACACCGTGTGGCCAACTTTGCCCCCTCAAGTCCCAAATAGGGGACGGGTGGATTACTACAAGAAGGGGGGCACCTAACCCTTTTAATTCTTCTTATCAAAACAACACGGTACATTTTAAACACTTTTTTGATACTAATTAGCTATGTAATCAATTTGTATTGTGTAAAGTTTAATTAAACTATATAGAAATGTAGTAACTAGTATGAATAATTCTTTGAAAGCCCCTGAATGATAATGGTATGCTCCAAGTGAAATTGATATGCATCCAGTGAGCAGGGGATACCCCCATGCTATCACCATGCCAATGGACAACCCAGCGCCGGATCATACTAGTCTGCACCAGAATATACGGTATATTACAACGTGGGTTGTAAAAAAAAACTTTTTCGTTTTTTAGAATCCAGGACATCATATAGGACATTGTTAGTAACGTTACTATAGTCTGGATAGACAAGACGGCAGATCAAGAGACGTTGAACCTACCTAGCCTCTACCAGGCTTCGGGAGACGGCAAACTGTTCTCTCCAGCAGACCAACTCCCCTGGCATGCTAGCTCTCTATTTGGCCGATTCCTATTCTTTCCAGCCGCCTTCCGAAGCCTGGTAGAGGCTATGTTTTAATTAAACCGTACTTACAGACCACTTATAATAAACTTTAACTATAAGGTACCTAAAACAAAAGAACCAGCCAGACACACTTTGACGCACAACCTGTCGCTTTTGGCACGAGCCGACACAGGGATATAGAAAAAGAAACGCGACATGACATCAGTCTATAGTTTCCCACATCAAAAGCTAGTGAAGTTATGGGTATTTATTATTTTTGTCCCTCCACCTTTAATATTGGAGTCAATCCAAATCCGTGTGCCAAGACTCAGTACGCAAGTTGTCATAAATCTATGTAAGATCATGGAGATTTAAAGGTGCCCAATGCAGTTTTTTAGGACTTCAAAACCAGAAGTTTTGAAAGTTAATATTCTAGTCGCTCGCTTATCTACATTAAAAAAACATTGCCGCAAACCGGACCAATTCCCCCGGCAGGTTACCTCTCTCTATTTGGCCAATTTCTACTCTTTCCAACCTCCTCCCGAAGCCTGATGGAGGATAGGGATACAAACTTTAATAGCCTCAAACTTTGGGTGTTCTCGTCGCAAAAGCGCCACCTACATCAGCTACATATAACTTCAACTGTCTCGTTACAGAAAAGCCAAGCTTATATCTCTGTCGGCGGTTGTTTCTGTCACAGTTTGAAAGTGAAAATTCTACGGCATGGAAATCGGACGACGACATACTCTCCAAGCAGGGTTTGGGGTTACTTTTTAGCGTGTTTTTAGGCTTTTTTTATAGAGGTTTCTCTTTTGCACTGAATTTTTTTTCCTACCAAACCCAGTGCAAAAGAGAAACCCCGATAAAAAAAGCCTAAAAACACGCTAAAAATAACCCCAAACCTCTGCTTGGAGAGTAACGACGACATACCACACATGTGGCAGTAACGTCGTAACGCGTTGCCTAGGTTACCTGCACTTGCACACGACAGCTAGGTCCGGCTGTTCAGAACTCTCCAAGCAGAAGTTTGGGTTTTGACTTATTTTGGGCGTATTTTTAGGCTTTTTATCGGGCTTTCTTTTTTATAATTGCAATACCACTGGTATCTTTTTACGCCAACCCAAAAAAGATACCAGTGCAAAAAAGGCCCGATACAAAGCCTTAAACACGCCAAAAATAAGCCGAAAACCCAAACCTCTGCTTATAGAGTTCAGTACAATACTACAAACTCTCAGTCCCAAACACAAGACGGGACCATGCACCAGTCCAAGAAAAACAAACAAAAAGACGACATCTGTGTATGGGAAAGGTTCCAATCTCGCCCTGCCAACCCCCACTGGCTCACGACAAGCCGCGTTAGATTCAACATTTGCGGATCCCCGGGAATTCGCGCTAACTAGACCGCTGTCAACTGGAGGTAGCCTCTACCAGGCTTCGGGAGGCGGCCGGAAATACAAGAAATTGGCCAAATAAAGAGCACAGCACGACAACAGCCATTTAAGCTAACCTTCCGCAATATGTAGTACATGTATTAAAGTTGAGAAAATATTTCAGTAGACTTTACGACTTCGTAAAGGCTGCTGAAAGGCAAATTCCGCCTTTCATGCACCTTTCAGCGGGCTTCAATACGACATAAACATATTTCATATCTTTACGCTTCCTTTATAAATCCGTAAATATAACATACCGAGGGAATCGGTCCGCTAGAGAGTACATTTTGTGGCAAACTGTACTTTCTAGCTGACCAGCCCCGGCATGTAAATCGTATCTCTCCCTTAGTGCTTGGCCAATTTGGCCAGCCGCCTCCCGAAGCCAGGTAGAAAAACTCGAAGTAAAAAGGGCTGATTGTGAGGCCGGAAGGAGAGGTTGTGTGAAACTAGTGTGAAATTGGCAAGGCTCGACTAAGATCTTTAAACTCTCGTCAAGTCGGAGGGACATGGGAGTTGGGACGTGAATATTAGTCTCTTCCAAACTAAATACGATGGCTATATATAGGATAATATTTGCCAGGGGAGTTTGGCCGCCTTGTAGGTTTGACTGGGAAAGAAACATCAGCGCGCATTGATTTTCGCCTGATTTTGGAGGAAAAAAAAAGAAATTTTGTTGCCCTCTGACAGTGGTCAATGTGCCGAAAATTGGCAAAAAAAGTCTGTCGCCATGCCGGAGAGTGGATGAGCGATAAATATGAAGAGAGGAGACAAGAAAAGACTCTGATGAAATGTTTTCTTTCTTACTTTGATGCAGTGATATGTAATGTTGGCTGTGTATATGTGATGTTCCCACTGAATCAAAATGATATTGAGTCAAAAATCTAGTAGAAAAAACTGTAGGAACCTTGTTTTTTTTGGCCCGCCTTCTTTTTTTTTGCCCCGCTCGCATTAGAGTTGGAGTCTGTGGAGGATGTCATCCATAAAATTTACATGCTGTGGCCTAACTTACATGCAAATGTGTCGTGATGGTCCGCCTTCAAAATGTCTGGGAACGAGACGACGAACGAGAGCGTCGTCCCGGCACCTGATTGGTCGGGAGGGAGGTTCGGCGTGAAATTTAAACTTCGGTCAAAGTTCACGGCGCGAGAACAACTGCTGAGCTTGCCGAGGTGAGGTGATTTCTGTGCTTCCGTCGCTGCTTTTTGGCCTCTTTGTGCAGGTAGATATCCAAAAAGAACTTTTGTCGGTTTCCTAAAGGGTAGCGTGTACATTTCTGGTGCAGGTTGTGACCACATTTCGTTTTCTTTTTAAGTTTAAGAACGGGAAAATTATGGGGGTTGGTTGCATGGCTTGCCAAGCTGTCGGCCACACTGATTTTCAAAACAAAGCTCAGGGGACACAAAGAAGTTACTCGTTCGCCACTTGTTTTGTAAGGCTAATTGGTTATTTTCTTCCTCTTCCTCTTCTTTCTTCGATATATTATCACATGATAAAATAGAGTCAAAGTACAAACTGTCGTAGCACTCCCTCGCTTGAAGATATGGCATTAATTTGCCGTGGCGATAGACAACAACTTCTCTCCAAATTTAGCTTGTAAACCAGAGTTGGTGGCCATTTAGCCTGACAAGTATAATCCTATCATAGTTAAGCCACGGCGTGTGTTGCATGGCTTCTCTTCCTTGTAGTCTTATTGTAGAGTCCATATGATCAGACAACAAGCAGAGAAGCCCTGCAACAGTGGCCATGCTAAATTATCCTATCACTGTATCAGACCTCTTCCACATTTTCACAAATAATTTTATTGTTTAATGTCGTTCTAGATTTTTCTCGCTAGACGTGGTCTCTGGGAATAGGACTAAGGTGCTGGATTTCACTTGGTTCAAATTCTTCAACGTTTTCTCAAGGTTTAACACTTCACTTGACAAATTTCAATTTATTTTAGGACACACGACTACATGGCAGGGAAAAACATGGCTGGTGGTGTTTTATACCTGGAGAATGTGGACCCCGAGAACTGCAGTGTGTTCGTCAATGCTGTTGCCAAGCAGCTTGCAAGCCACAACACACAAGGTACAACTTTCTTTTATCATTATTATCACAGTGTATAACATAGTGTGAGGTACTAGTACATAATTGCTTTTACTAGCTCATTCAATGGTAACACCTGGCCTTTCCAGATAGACCTGTATGCAACTCCCGAAAAGACAATTCACTTGTGTTTTTTATTCAATCACTGCTCAGAATATGAACAGGAGGTGTGAAGAAGTTTTCACAGTAAGCAGCCAAGCACAGACAATGACAATGTTCAAATCCACAAATGCGTCTGTACTACTTACTAGTACTTATAGTTTGGTGCACATGGCTTCTTGCAACTTACTACAACGGATGTCTGCTTGCATACTCTTGCTAACATTCAAATCTGTATACTGAAAAGCAGCCAACATGCTCAAATGTTGGTCAGGTATTTCATTTACATTCTCTGAAAAGCATGATCATCAGGCGATTGCAATATACATTTATATTTTTTTCTATTGTACCCAAACAGATCAGCATCAGCTGCATGTGATAGGAAACCCAGTCCAGTACGCTAGCACTAGCGTCTCTCTCAGTCACCCTGTGCTATCCCTGACTGATGTCTACCTGGGCTGGTACAGGAGTCTGGGACTGAGGAGGAACACGAGAGAAACCGTCCTGACTCCTGATGACCAGCTGGTGGCATTGCAGCTCTGTATGGCTGAACTCAACTCTCAGGTAGGGATCAAGCTATAAATACATGTACTGTTAACTTAGACATATAACATCAAAGGTGATACCAATCCAATGGACCTATACCATTCTTATGTCACAGTTTGTTTACCTGTTCTAAAGAACATTCTAGAACGGTCAGTTAAAGAATAAAGCTCATTTCAAAGTTTTCAAAGTCAGGTATGTCTGATTTTTGCTGCGTCTAGTTGTGTTGACACAGCATTACATGCCGTAATGGGTGATTTAGTTGTGACCTTAGACGAAAGTAGTACTGTATTAAAAGCCTTATATTAGGCTAACGCTATTTTGTGCTACAGACTGATTGTTCCTTGGTTGTAGTTGTATCAATGGTTTAGACTTTTGAATGGCCATTTTGAAATCATAAACAAAAGAACTCAATTCCTTACTATCCACCCTCCAGAAAATCGGTTCATTTGAAGCTCAGGCCAGCGATGTCCTCGAGGTTGTCAGTCACCTCACCCAGGACAAGCTGGGTTGCCTAGCAACAACAGGAGGCCACGCCCCCAGGGACGACTACCAACCAATCAGGGAGGCCTACGACAAGTTTCTGGAGCACTGCAATGTTTCTGACATAGCAGGTAAATAGAGGGATAGAAAACTTAATGCTTTGATGAAGGTTAGACATCCAGGTAATGAGAAATACAAGGGAATTCACCAAAAACAGTTACACAAGCAACTGGATATGATTTGGGAAACGGTCAGACGTTTCAGCTAGTATCCACTACCTTTCGTCAGTGATGACAGAGAGACCAGAGGTGAAATGCAGGTTTATAAGCACTAACTATTGCTTCAGAAAGATAATTCTTTCAATCAGTGACTATTGATGACAGAGAGACCAGAGGTGAAATGCAGGTTTATAAGCACTAACTATTGCTTCAGAAATATAATTCTTTCAATCAGTGACTATTAAATCCTAAGGTACATACCTCCAAATTTTCGACGACGTCACGGAATGATCCTAGTCTCGCTTGATAGTATTGCTTGATATGCAAATAAAGTGAAGACACATATTACCTGGATGTCTAACCTTCATCAATGTACAAGGAAATTGTTACTGTCAAGTTTCAAGTATCATCCACAAGACGTTTCAAGTAACATCCACTACTTTTTGCCATTCACTCAATGACTTTCACTGACAAAAAGCAGCTATTCCCTTGTGTAAAACTTTATACTCATCTAAAAATATTCAATCGGACAAAAGAAACAACTATCGTTATGAGTTGAGTGAACTTTAATTCAATAGATTTATGCAGATAAGTGCTAGAGTTCTATGTTTTCCATCTGGGTAGAATTTTTCAAGTGTTACACATAATTTTTAAATATCCAAGGCCCAGAAATCCTATATATCATTTCTTGGTTTTATAACATGGTGTAAATTTGTATCAACCTCTCAGACATCAAACGCAATCATTCATTTCAGGTATGACAGTCATCGTAAGTCCAAGGGTATTTACATGTAAATCTGGTCAACTGAATTTTGCTAAGTCTGTTGCCTCCTATAATATTATTCTGTACAGATGTGTTCCTGAGAGTGAGGGAAAAGTTCCAGGCAGACCCAGCCACAGCAGAACGGTGTAGGAACAATTCTAGATACATTGTGTTGGAACTGCCACAAACACAGATTGAGGTAAGGCTACTGTTACTACAAGCAAATTATGACCGTTTCCAAAATCATATCCAGTTTCTTGAGTAACTGTTTTTTGGCATACAACCAAGTTACTCTAGATCTTCAAAAGTCTAGTATGGATAGATAAATATAGAATACAACACGGTGTATTCCGTATCGCCCGAGGTACCAGCCCGACCGCGGGTCGGATCGCCCGACGGCCGAAGGCCGGAGGGAGATCCAATCCGCGGGAGGGCTGGGACCGAGGGTGATGCGGAATACACCGTGTTGTATTTTATTTATGTCATACCCACCCAAGAAAATTGTGCCTTTCAATGCGAAATGAGCGAAAATTTTGGTCCCTAAACCCAAAAAATGCGACAACATCAATTCCAACGTCCGGATCCTGTATTCGAATTTCGAAATCGGTGCACGCGGTTAGGCCGAAACGCATTCGAATCGTTCTATGGAACATTTGGAAGGCCCGGGCCGTACGCGTAAAGAACCCCCGGGCCGTACCGCTAGTTATCACACGGGCCGGAACACCCGTATCGAACGTAATCGCGGCCCAGGTAGGACATAAACCATTTTATGTCACAGCTGGGCCGCGATAATGTTCGATATGGGTGTTCTGGCCCGTGTGATGACTTAGCGATATCATACAGGGTTCTACTGAGTAGTTGGTTTTCACACGGGCTAATTCAAATGTTCTATAGAATACGTTGATGAAGGTTAGACATCCAGGTAAACAATACTCATAGGAAATTCAAAATCTACTACTGGATAAATTATGGAGATAATATCCGGACGTTTCGAGTGACATTCACCACTCTGCTTCAGCGTCACTAATTAATAATGAACTAAACAGAACTCATTAACACTTATATATTATATGATTATGAACAACTAGAAAAAAACAGTTGCACATGACAAAGACTTATACAGTAATTGATATGATACCTATGAGTTCTGTAGAATAAATAGAATGCATTTCACCTGTGTTATGCATACGGCTTTTGAAAATTTTAATACCCGATTCGGACATTGGAATTGATGTTGTTACAATTTTTTGTCATGCCGTCCGGGTATCAAACTTATATTAAGGCTCTTCGTTTTCCTGATGTTGGTTTCCTTCTGGTGATTTAGACGGAGATGCTGAAGCTGCTTGTGGGCGACAAGTCAACCACTGTCGTCACCATGGAGACGTCCCTTGACATGTCTTTCAGCCAATCGGTGGAGCCAGCAGATGTGAGGTTGACCAATCAGGAGACAGATCTCACAGAACTTTTAGAGAGGGGCCGCCCCCATTCTACAAGTGGGTTGCCAGGTTCCAGTGCAACAGAGGTGAGTCTGTGAGAGGAGTAAAGTCCTATATTTTTTTTTGCTATCTGTTTGTGTCTGTATGTATACTATGTATTGGATGGATTTGTATTTTAAAATAGTGTAACCACCCACCAGCTTCTGTATCTGTAGAGCCGGTATAACCGCCCAGCAGCATAACAAACCAGCTTCATGCTTGTGTATCTGCATAGCCGGTATAACTGCTCTTCATCATACACACCTGCTTTGCATGCATGTGGGGTGACGGCAGCTGGCTATACAGACGTCACCCTTTGCACATCTGACTGTAAGCATTGTTTAAAGCTATCAAGTGATGATGCCCCTACGGTACTTCAAGGTATCAGCGAGCTCCACTCCACAATATCCAATCAACTACAATATGCCCCCCTTCTGTCCCCCCCAGAGCTACATCCGGAAAGTGTTCCAGTCATACCTGACCCTGCTGCTGAACTGCAGAGACGAGATCGCGCTGGCTCGAGCCATCAACATTCCCGACAGGGAGCTGGACCATCGCGCCTTCACCGAGCTCAAGCGGGCCGCAAGGAACAAGAACATGCCCATGTGCCAGGTACAAAGTGAAAGTACAAAGTACAGAGTGAAAGTGATCTCGACCCAGTTTTAGGGGGGCCCGCAAGCCCTTTTCCGTAGAGCGTAATCAGACGTACCGCTCTAATTCAATGTAGAGTGAAATTGGCCCATTTTGTGTAGAACGTATTTGCCGTTTTAATTCTACGTAATGCGTTGTAGCCACTTGGAATTTATCGTAAAGCGTAATCGAGAGGTTCCGAACTCAGCGTGGAGCATTGTCAGGACCCCCCCTTGCAGGCCCCCTTTTAGCTCTGCAAACTCGGTGAACAGTCTAGCTAATCTTCAAGCAGATAATTTGGTGGGTGCAAGACAGTATCATTATCAAATTGGCAAGGCAGTATCTGGACCATCGCACCATCACCGAGCTCAAGTGGGCAGCAAGGGACAAGAACATGCCCATGTGCCAGGTACGGAGGGAAAGACAATGAAAGTGATCTTGCTTCATTCTGAAAACAGGTTTGAGCTATAATTAAAAAAAAAAGACTTATCCAAATTTTTAACTGTTTTGTCAAATTTGTCAAACCTGTTTCAGAATGACTTCAATCTACAAATACAGATTTTGAAGCCATGATCTCTAAGCAGTTTTCTATCAATAAAATTAAGCTCAATGAACAGTTGAAAGAGAAGATGAGTCGTACGTGCTATGTACAGTATTTAAAGGGGCATGGGTAGCTCAGTGTACTGGGTAGCTCTTGTTGACTAGTACAATGTACAAGGTTCTCTGAAAATTTTATCCAGTTGCTGCATGCATTTGATATAATGATATTACATAATGTTTTACCCAGATGACTAACCTTCATTGGCATACAAGATGTAATAGAACTATTAGAAGTTCATATTCATTGATTTAATCTTTGTCTAATTCCCTACCCAGACTGCTGTGTCGTTTGTCATGCAAAAGAGACTGGGAGGGAAGAGCTACGCACCAAGCCAGGACAACCCTCTACTCCAACACATCAAGGTATTCATTAGTGTTATTCACTGCTTAGTAACACTACCGTTTTTGGAAGTGATATTGCAAGCTTAGGTATGAATATACTATGATGTTTGAGCACACAAAACTTACATTACAATTCACATCATCTGTGAACTATGTATTACTACATGTATGAGATGACCTAGAAGACATATTATTAATTAAAATTTTGGATGAAACATTCTCCACACATTTTCCATACATTGCATGGGTGTGATTTGTCTTGTACAAAAATATAAAACATCATCCAAAGTCAAATGGTGGTCTAAAATCATTTTGCTCACTTGCTGATTCTGATTATTTCATGCAGGGCCTGAGTGAGTTTGTGACCTTACTGCAAAAGATGCAGACAGTTGTAGAGGAGTGTACAGATGCAAGGTGGGTATTATTCTTTACTTCAACTTATCCTACTTCAACTTGTCCTTAGCGAGACTTAAGGCCATGACTTTTTCCTTTCATCTGCATCTGTCCTTAGCTAATGTCTTTAACTGCAGGCCAGGATATTGCCATGGAGGCTAGGTCATCTGTCACAGTTCTTTGTTTTGGGTCCTTCTCTTTTCCTTTTCCCTACAGACCTTCAGTTCATGATCTTGATTAGGTACTAAGCAACATCCCTCAGTTGGAGTAACATGCTCAAGGGGGGAGGGGGATTTCTATGCATCTTTACTGTTCCCTCGTCTTTACTGTTCCCTCCCTGATGGGTTACTGCTTCGTTAATTAAACTTGGCAGGTTCAGTAATTTCTGTGATGTCTTGTGGAAGTGATTTCCAGTCTCTTACTGTCTGAGGAAAGTAGGAATATTTTAAAGCAGTTTTAGGTCCTCAGCAAATACTGTAATGCCTGATCAATATAAAGTACCGGTAATTGCCTTTCTCTCTGGCCTCATATTAAAATGTTACCATTTTCCTCAGGGCTGCCCTTGGAAGACTCCTGACGATGCTGAAGAACGTCCTGATGCGGTCCAAGGACCTGACCCTGAGGAGGGCGAGTGTGGAGGCGGTTGCCATGGCAATGATGGAGGAGGCTGGGAGACTGGCAGATCACCTGTCTCAGGGACGGGCGGACACGGCAAGTCCTAAAAGGGTAAAACAGTCTTCCTTCCTCTATCTAAGACATTACTGTCAAAACTGCCCAAGAAGGGGACAGATAAAAATCTCACCTATGTTACAGGTGGTCAATATAGTCAGGATTTGTATGCTTGTGTCAATCTAAAAGACCACTAAAAAGAGACCACCAAATGTTGGCCAGGTGGTCCATATGCAGAGGTGGTCACTACTACTGTAACAGTTTTGGCTGTATGTACATTATACTAAAAATACTGTCACAAATACATGTATAATATTGGACTTTTCAACTTTATTTTGACCATCTTCTGTTTGAGTCTTTGTTTATTTGTGAAAAACTCAAATCATCTTGCTGGCTACTTTTCATTCAGGACACGAGAAAAGATGTAAGGGTCCGTAAACACAAAGCAAAAGGCTAAAGACATGGAAATTAACTGCCCTATGCATGATGACTGGTGTAGGAAGGACTTTGACTAACAAAATCTTTACTCCAGTCTCCAGGCAGCGGAGGCTCGGTGTACGGGAGGGACGTTTCCAGGTTCATCCAGCTGTTCCTGGACAGACAGGCCGGCCGCCCCAGCGTCGGACATGTGGTGGAGGTGCTGAGTGATGTTTATACGAGTCAGAGCACTCCTGTCAGGATCCCTTCTCTCGTCTCACAGTTCAGGTACAGTACTTGTACTTCACAGTTCACACATCTTACATTTACCACCTATCTCTACTTCTTACTGTGATACCATGTGGTGGAGGTGCCAGTCAGAGTACACCAGTCAGAGTACTCCTGTTAGGATCCCTTCTCTGGTCTCACAGTTCAGGTAAAGTACTTGTAGTTGTACTTCACATGTCTAACATTTGCCACCTATCCCTACTTGTTACTGTTCATGTTGTGGAGGTGCTGAGTGATGTTTACAACAGCCAGAGTACTCCTGTCAGGATCCCTTCTCTTGTCTCACAGTTCAGGTACAGTACTTGTACTTTACACTAACATTTACTGTGACCTATCCCTACTTGTTGCTGTGATATCATGTTGTGGAAGTGCTGAGTGACGTGTACACCAGCCAGAGTACCCCTGTTAGGATCCCTTTTCTTGTCTCACAGTTCAGGTCCAGTACTTCACACTAGCACTTTGACAGAACGTACTGCACCTGTATGGAACCTGTAAAGTATTGTGCGGAACATCTGGAAGACATTCCATCTATGGTTTTAAAATGTTGTGTTGGAAAAGATATCTGCATCAGGCAGAATTCTGGTTCAAGCATCCAACAAAAATCCAGAAAAATCTAGGTTTCATGCAGGTGCAGTATGTTTCACTGTCATGCTTTTCAAGCTGACTATTACCTATTTTAATCCTGTGATGAGTGGTTCACAGAAACAGAGAATCCTGGGGGGGGGGTCCTGTTGTGCTGATTTTCATTGTGAAGAAGAAGACAGAGCTTCTATTGGTAGTTCTTGGAGGCGTATGGCACAACTTGCCACAAGCTCTCAGGGAGAAAGCCCAATCAGCAGGGATAATAGCAAGAGATTGTGTAACACAGGCTTGATTCATAACCTGACCGCACATATTTTCTCCATCCCCAGGTCTCCTGATCCAGAGACAGAGAAGAGTAGAGAAGACACGCCACTACTGCAGAGGACTATGCAGAGGATGAAGGACATGAACAACAAGGTTTGTATGCTCTATGATTCATTGTTCCTGAACTCTGGTCTGAATTAGTAGATATTTGTAGCTCATATACTAAGTGTTCTCTGAAAGCATCATCATTTCTTATGAACCATTGTCACAGCTCATCAAATATATATTGGAACTTCCTGTAAAACAGTTGTATTTTCATCATCCGAAGAGGTGGAGCAGACAAAGAAATTTTGAATAAAATAAAAAAAATTATGTTAATTTTTTAACGTCTGGGAACATACAGTAGCTGTAGAGGCTCATTACAATTAAATATTTATGTCATTATATGTATGCAGCAACATCATTTTGCTTATCAATCATACACAGTTACATTTACTTCATGCTACTTTTAGAGACAAGTTTTAACATGCTTGTACGGGCTTACAAATACGACACTTAGTAAAAAGTTTAACCTTATTCCAACACACAGTTTATGAATAAACTTTATTCCAACACACAGACTATGAATAAACTTTATTCCAACACACAGTTTATAAAAATAACACTTAGTATATGAGCTACAATAAACTGTGTGTTGGAATAAAGTTCAACTTTTTACTATGGTTCCTACCAACACAGATGAACTTTCATGATAAATACGACACTTCATTTCATTCTAGAAGCCAGCAGTTCCCAGGTACCAGTCTGACTGCTCCTGGGCGATGCCGGCCGTGTCGGTCAGTCCGCTCAACAACAACCGGGACGAGATCTACGTCGACTGTCAATCACCTGTCAATCACCGTGATGTCATCACCACACGAGCTCCTCCCACCAACATCCTACAAGCGGAGGAGAATCTGGACCGCGAAGAAGACGAAGAAACAAAGAAGAGGAAGAGGAAAGAACTCATCAACAAGATCTTAGAATCAGCCGAGGACCAGGAAAACGTCGACCTTGACAGACGACCCGCCGCCGCTAAGAACTCTGGGAAGAGAACACTGAAGGATGCTGGGATTGCTCCCTCCTCCCAGCCGCCAAGCAAGAAGCCGAAGAAGCCTGCGACGACAAAGTCTAAGAAAAAAGTGGCTCCGCTGCTCACTGGTCAGAAGAAACTGACATCTTTCTTCAGAATGTGATGTTTTCTTTTATTCTTGGTATTTTACCGTGTCCAGTTGATACACTGCTCAGGTCCTTGCTGCTAAAATCAATCAGTAGCATCAACTTATCTTGAAAGTTCATCTGTGTCAAAACTTGGTAGAAGACATTATGAAGCATTAAACTGTAATTTCCAACACAAGGGATCGGAAATTTACAGTTGTACAGTCAAAAATTTGGGTAAGTCTAAACTCTAATCCTTTGTGTTGGAAATTACAGTTTAAACTGCTTCATTGTGGCATCAACTTGTTAATATGAAATTTTGATGTTGTGAAGTGGACATGGCCATTCTCAGGTTAGGAGGTTGTTTTTAAACTGTGCCGTGTGGTTTCTTTATTGAAGCCTTTTAAGTTCTACCCCTTGTAGAAGTTGCAATTTTCCCTGGAACTTTGTGTAAAGATGTAAATAGCAATCATTGAGTTTTGTTTTGGTGCAATTAATTTATACATAATCATGACCATTATAACCTCAGGCTTTAATCTTTAGGTAGATCCTTTTGTGGTAAAATCGTAACAAACCATCAGAGACAGTATCCAATGGACCTATCACATTATTACGTCACAGTTTGTTTACCGCAATGAATGCCGGTCAATCGACGTTTATATTGTACAGGGGTGCGCGGTGCATGTTTGTGTAGTGTTAGCCTTAATATAAGGCCTTAATACAGTACTATTTTCATCTAATGTCACAACTAAATCACCCATTACAGCATGTAATGCTGTGTCAACAAAACTAGACGCAGCAAAAATCAAACATACCTGACTTTGAAAAATGATCTTTATTCTTTAACTGACCGTTCTAGACTGTTCTGTAGAACAGGTAAACAAACTGTGACGTAATAATGTGAAAGGTCCATTGGCTACTGAGGGTTCATAACCTTTTTACATACTGTCAGCAGATCCTCAGTGGCAGCCCTGCCAATTGGATATACCGCCTTGTCGGTGTGTTTTTTCCACCAAAGAATCTGCTTGGAGATTGTTGTTTTTTAAACTGTGTTCATAGAATGATTCTTGGAGGTCGTTTTGTTGAAGCCTGTGATTTCAAGTGTAAGTAGATGTTGGAATTTTCCGTGGAATTTTGTATTAAAATGTAAATAGTTATTGTTACCTTTGCCTATGTTTTTGGTAGTGTTTGTGTGTAAGCGTGTGTATGTACGTGGTTAAGCACGATAACTCAAGAAACTATGGGTGGATTGGCATGAAACTTGGTACGTGGGTAGGTCTTGATGAGACCTTAAAACAATTAGATTTTGGGCTTCCTAGTAATGGTACTACTGCTTTTCATATCGCCGAAGCAATCTAAGGTTACAACGGTACACTGCATAACACATGGCAAAACAAAACAACTGACGAGGTACTATAGAAAAACCAACACAAAAAACGAACAACAAAGGTATGAGATCTTTCCTTCTTTATTCTTCATTAACAAACATTTCACTGGCACTGCAAAATCTGGTAATCACATTATGATGCGAAAACAGTTGTAAGCAACTCGACACTTTGAGACAACTCTATTACTAGCTAAGCATATAACTGTGCAGCAAAACTCTAACTTTCACAACAAGCTAAAACAGTTTTAAGTAGTTAAAGTCACAGTTGGGCAAAGGGTTGTGTAAAAAATATGTTGAAAGCAACAGCTAATTCAACAAGCTTGTCTAACAAATCTACTGGTACTCATCCATTATTCAAAAATGTGTAAATTACTCTCAAAACCATTAAAATCATATTCACTCATCATATCAAGATTGCCCGTGCTGTTTCCATATATGTCGCCCTGACCTCTACTGATCTGCCGCTGCGGTCGTGATGCCGCAGGCCTGCAGGAAGGCATTGTGGGATTCCTCCCAGTACCTGGACTCCACGAGCTCCCGCTTGAACCTGGCGGCTTTCTCGAACTCGTAGTCGCTGTACTCGAGGACGTCCACGATTCTGTCTGCCCACCTCTTTGCGTCTCCGGCACGATCGCGGTCGTTCACGCTGGTCTCCACGATGACGTTCCTGTGCTCTGCGCTGATTTTCTTCTGTTTGATCAGGTCAGTGATCATCTTTGCCAGGCCGGTTTTGTCGGAGATGAGGACGGGGATGCCAGCGGCGATGGCCTCCAAGCCGACCAGCCCAAATGGCTCGGAGCGGGACGGCATCAGCACCAGGTGCGCCATCATCATGTCGTTCCTGATGTCGTCCTGGGTCCCATACGGCCGCAGGGTGGGGTTCAGGTCGGGACTGTTCAGGGCGTCTTCCAGGATCTTCTGGCTGGTCTCCCAATCATCCTCGCTGATGCCGATGACAAGCCACCGGGAGTTTATTCTCTTTACCACATCCCTCATGGACTCTCCAACGAGGTCATGCCCTTTCAGCTTCTCAACCTTCCTCACCCTGCCGATGGACAGAACGACCTTCTGCCCTCCCCCAGGACTCACATTGGCATCCAGGAATATCTTGGATGGCTTCGGGAGGAAGACGTGGTGACTCTGCGGTGTCTTCCCTCCTTTGTACTTAGTGCTGAAGTGGTTAAAGATCCGCCTACCCACCGAGAAAGCTGCCTTGGCATTGTCGACTTTATCAAGCATGTCCTTCTCTTTCTCCCCTGCTTTCATGGCCTTCCGACCTCCCTTGTAGTACTCTGTATCCTCGGGTATGACGTGGGTGAACATGATGAGGTCTGCGTTGTTCTTGTAGTACGCGTTGTGGATGTTTCGCGCTGCCGTATCTGTGATGTCAGCGTGGCCGATGATGACATCAACATGTGGTGGTAGGCTTGATTTTGGGTCGAGGCCTTCCAGGTATTCATGTAATGGTAGTGTTGATTTCGGGTAGCGGATAGGGTAGTCGAAGGCCAGCCAGTCTATGGATGGCTTTCTCGTGTCCCCTTCTGGTTGAACAGGTGTGATCAGTTTGACCTCATCTCTCTCTGCTGCCTCCTTGTCTTTTGGGGGTACCTTCAGCTGTAGGACTGTGGCGTACACGGCGGCCTTGCCCTTCAGGGTTTGGACCGCCTCGCAGTTGATGGTAGAAACTCCCCCCTTGGAAGTCCCGTACTCATCGTTGATCATCAAGATTACTGGTCTCTCAGCACCTTCAGGAAAACAAGCAAACTGTAAACTTTAAAATGGTATTTAGGGAACCTCATGGTGCAATAACCTGGAAGCCGCAATGAAAGTATACATAGTGACAGACTATATACATGTAAAATCTGGCTATCTACACATATAAAACTACATGATACGATGTGTGCATTGAGTGCCCATCCACTTTTTGCTGGGCTGGTTTAAGATGTACAATAAATGTATTACTTAGGAAACGGATTATATATTATTAAGTAATAACCCAAAGAGGAGAGAGGGCATATTAGCATACTGTGAGTTACAGTTACAGAACCACAAAGAACAAATATTGAAATTTCTACCTCTTGGTCCTGAGTCCGTCCTCTGAAACACGGCAGGCGTTGGGCTCACTCTTGGCATTTTCGGTTGAGTGAAGACTTTCGTCCCGTTACGTTTACCTGGCACGGATTAAGAAATATCATGTTATTATTGTCTGAAAGAGCACGGCACTGATCGACAAACTTGACGTTCCATATTGCCGGACTGCACGTTAGAAGAACTCACCCATATCATGCATTGTTGAACTGTTAAACACTGATCTGTACATTACTTGTTCCCAGATTCAAATCTAAGTTAGGTCTACACAATATTCTACAAACCATGACATCACGTTACAGATGTCTTGTCTATGCTTTACTGTGGACAGGTATTTGCTGCATGATACAACTCTTTGAATGAGCTATAGATACATCAAAGGCCATGTACTGATGATATTACCTTGACACTTATTGGGAGAATCATTGCCACTGACAGACGTCTGTGAGGTTGGATGACTGTCGTTCTCGGCACTTCCGCTGGGCAGTGCTGTAGCACCTGCAAGGCAAGTCGTAGAATATTTGCTTTGTCTATCATAGATTTTAGATTCTAATTAACTGAAGTGCATATAGGATGAGATCAGAATAGATGAAGTGCCTACTGTTGGTAAGAACAACACAACTCAGACACATGTCAGCGAGTTGTTTTGATAAAGAATTGAATTGAACTGAACTGAAAATGTGTCTGTGTTCTTAGATCTGGTTTTTGGTTCAAAATCATGAGGGCATTGTCGACACGTCTTCAAGATTACAGACACACCTACCTTTCAACTTCAAGCTCTCTGCTGTCAGCCGTTCGCCAATGTCGATGAGGGCTTGCTTCAAAACTTGTAGGGTTGCACCATCTGCGTTTCTTCCTTGCCACCTTTCGAGCACTTCCCTGCACTTGGCATCAGGGTCCTGCAAGGCCAGCGTTGCATTGATTGATTTGATCTCGCCTCGCCCGAACCCCAGTTTGCGGGCCAAGTCTTCCCACTTGTAGCTCACGTTCTCGACGACTTGGTCAAAGTAGTCAGCCACATCAACTGGAATGTGATCATTCATGTTTTTAGTTACTTAGTATTTGACATGTAGATAGTATGCAGCACATTTTAGGGTTAGAAACAAGCATTAAAAAACCTTGATTCCAATTTCCCCTTATACACAAACTTGAGTATTCTTCCACAATCTAAAGCAAGGAACAGCGTCCAGATTAAATTTGGACTTTCCAGAGCACTTTGGACAAATGCTTCTAGCTGTCTTCAGCTTATACTTACAATGCTAATATTTTGTGAACAACTTCCCTGTCACCGTACGGATCATATTGACCCCCAGCGGGAGTCGTCACGCATCGTTAAAAATCGAAAAATCTTAAGATTTTTCTTTAAAATCTCAAGATGTTTTGGAAAATCTCAAGATTTTTCAAAACCATCCCAAGATTTTTCTTAAAAATCTTAAGATTGTTTCAGATAATCTCAAAGCATCTAAAGATTTTTTTAAAGAATCTCAAGATTTTTACAAACAATCTCAAGATTATTTTAAACAATCTGGAGATTTTTTTCAAAGTCATCTTAAAATTGATGTCTAAACTTCATGTAAGATTCATATTAATCAAAGTCAGAATATTCCGGAAGGTTTTATTGCTGTGTAAGTTCTGAGTCTTGAGAGTTTAGGCGAGTTGATGAGGATAGTTTTTTTAAATTTTCATGGAGCTTGTCAATGGTAGATTAACATTTTTTTCAGTGTCTTCTGAGTCCTCTTTGTGACTGTGGTGGATTAGCGATACAACTATGGTATCAAATGTGGCATAGCTGCATAGTTGTTCTTTACATATGTCTGCGCAATCTGATGGTTGAGTATTCTTGCATAACAGTCAAGTGGTAAATTCTTGCATCACATAAAGATTTACAGGACTGTCATACATGTACATCAGAACTATTAGGATTTGAATAACAGAATAATAGAGTAACATGACACCATTCTAACTTAGGCATAATGTGTAGGTCACAGAAATGCATGGCATGTATGTTTTATGTAATATGTTTTATCTTATATTGGGAAAATGAAAGCGTTGCATCAGGGGAAACATTCAAGAAATGGACATCTTCAGGTGATCTGAACCGATTTCAAAAAAGTAATTTTGAAATTATTGTTCAAACGTCACCTTCTTAAGATTTGTGTAAATTCTGATTTAGGCCAGTTGTGGTAGTTTTGGGCTTGTACTAGCAGGGTGCACAATGGAGAAGCTTCATTTACACACAACATATAGCTTTTCAGTCATTCAGTTCTTACTGGCTTTAACAGAGCCAACTGTCATGTTTAACATGTAGGTTTAGTTCAAAATGTAACTTTTGCATCACATAGACCTGTTTGCATTATACAACAGATTGACAGTTAACAGAAAATTAAACTAAAAGTCGAAAAATCTTAAGATATTTCTTAGAAATCTCAAGATATTTCTTAGAAATCCCAAGATTTTCTGGAAAATCTCAAGATTTACTGGAAAATCTCAAAATCTTTTTTTAACAATCCCAAGATTTTTTTTTGAAAAATCTAAAAGAAAACTAGAGTTCCACGATCTCATACCTTCGCCAAATGATGTTAGCCTTTATGAATAAGAAATTATAGATTAATCCCCCTGATTGTGCAAATAGGATCCTATATTACATCAATTATATCTGTTAATCATATTCTACACCAGAAGACAGTCTTATCTTATCAAAGAATGCCATTATAGCATTTCCTCATAAATTATGCAAATGAGGTCCTTATTTGAATAAGTTATGTTTAATTATGTTCACCTTCACATAACTTTCAAATATCCCAAGTATAAAATTCCAGGCAGTTACCACTATGTAATTATAACATTTTCTCATTAATTATGCAAATTACGTCTTCATTTGCAAAATCGATATCTGCCTGTATTTCTGCTGTTCTTAATCACATATGTCACAAGCTTGAATAGTGCTATCATGGAATGCAGCTGATTTATAGAATTTCCTCATTAATTATGCAAATTACATTAATATTTGCATAATTGTAATATTACTATGTCAAGCATCACTTCAGCTACCTACATGCCAAAAATCACGACGATCCGTCAATCGGTTCTTGAATTATCCGCCTTTAAACATTTTTCAACTAATGCGAACTGCAGTTCCAGAGCAAGCAGCTAGGGGGCTCAAACTCACAGTACTTCTTCCCCAGCACAAGAGCTATCTACCATCTAAATTTCATGACCCTAGCATGTCCAGATCACGAGATATCAAAACCGGAAGTTCAGCTGCAGTACCACAACAAGCCGCTAGGGGGCCCAAAATCTAATCAGTTCCACGTCTCATGAAGACCTACCCACCTACCAAATATCAAGACAATCCATCATAGCCTTCTTGAGTTATCGTGCTGACACACACACACACACACACACACACAGACACACGAACGCCTACGAAAACATAACCTTCTTGGCGAAGGTAATTAACATTCTAAAACAGTTCGGCGAGTTTTCCATATAATTGAAATATGGTGTTGGGGGAAATGTTTTCTTGACCCAAATTTAAATGTTCAATACTTTTTTCAACAATAGGATCACCATTATATACACAGTGTAGAACTTTTCTAAGACTGGTGGGTCACAAAACTACATCCTACATTCGTGCGGTATGTATGTTAGGCCCATCATGAAAAGATTACTGCAACAGGAGAGCTTTTAATATGATCCACACTTCCCAAGTCTGAGTTGTGCAAGTAAAAGTTTCAAGGTGAAGGTAATTTTCAACCCCCGGAAGACGGGGAACAACAGACACTAAACTGGATAGTGTGTACCTGCACCAGCAGGGCATGGTAATGCAGAAAAACCTCTGCTTGGAGAGTACACAACTCCATGCCCATGCATGTGCAAGACTTTTGGTGCTGCCTTGGCCTATACTATAGTCAAAGACCAGCTCTTGCTATCTTGGAGATGCAATTTGTAAAGGATATTGGCTCATGGCATTGAACATGCATGTAGACGACAGGTGGAAATCATTCAGTAGAGACAAGCTTTAATTTTAAAGTAGTATCTAAATGTATTGAACAAGATATTTTATCAGCAGATTATAAAATATTTGCTGTGAAGTCTCCACAAACATTTGCTTCTACCTTCTATTGTTTCAACTATTATTAGCTGGATTCTGTATTGTGGTGCATCTGCTGGGGGGATCTGATAGGGTAACATCTGGTCCAGATTTGTGTGAATGTTTAGATTTGTGGCAATAGAGCCTTGTGGGCAAGCTGACCCCTCAATACTTAGAACAAGTTACATGTGCATATATCCTTTTATACCATAAACTCATTACTTTCACTGTCCTTCAAACTCTAACCATGGACTTGAATGAAGTCCCGTAAGAACTTTGTCAATTTCCCTAGTAACATGTAGTTTGATGACATCACTACATTTATACAAACTGTTGCAAATGGCAGTCACAGATTAGTCAGAGTTATATTAAGACTTCTCTATTGTACTTACAAAAAGTACACATTATATACTTTGCTTAACCATGGCTCAAGTAAAAATTACCTTTAGTCTATTATGGCCTATAGTATATGTTCATAACTATGCTGTACTTTTCCTCTGAGGTAATATAACCCTGCCTAATCTGGACAAAATGCCACATATGATTTAGATGAAAAGTGTTACCGAAAACATTTTTCCTAATTTTTGGTAGAAAGAATCATTTCAAACCAGCAACCAGACAATCTTAATCAGCAAAGACCTAAAAAATGAAGCCTTGTAATGACAGGGGCGGGGTACTGGAAATGGCTTCTCCCCTTAACCCATCAAAAACCCATTAGCAAGCCCATTATCTCACCAAGCTCACCCCCCTCGCAGAAAATGGACTCACAGTCAGAGGAGCCTACCTGAATGGTTGTAGGCTGGGAAAGCATAATGCATTATAGACTTTTGGTAACAATGCATTACCCGGGTTAACAATGCACACACAATACCCGATACTAGCTAGCTACACCTAGATGCAAAGTGACGTTTTAAAATCTTGAAATTGTTTCAAAGAATCTTGAGATTGTTTGTAAACATCTTGAGATTCTTTTTAAAATCTTGAGATGTTTTGAGATTGTCTGAAGCAATCTTCAAAAAATCAGTACTTACACACTTTTTCCTAACATAACCAATATACCCTGCTTTGTACACATCAACAGAAAGTACGACAGGACATGCTTTGGGTTCTTTGCCAAACTCAGACAAAGAGTTTTCATGGCGGCAGACCTACATTCTGTATGGGGCCTGTGTGTCTTTAAGTTGCACAGCACAGTCTAGAGGCACAGCGGATAGTGGGGAGGGGTGGATCGGGCTATCACTTACCCTCCATGCCCCCAGCTTCACAAGTCAAGTCTGGTTCCCAGGGAAAACTCACTCAATCTCATACCACATTCCTGGTCCTCTCCAACTTACCGCTGCATCAGTTTTCTTCCCATCAAAGTTCCTCAGTGAAAAACCAGCACATACTGCTTCAACATTACCCCGAATGGAATTGCTAACCAACAAAACTGGCAAGTCTTCCACTTAAAATATAGAAATCTGCATATAACTCCTAACTTATTCTATTAGACTAGTTTTCTTTTCCTGACATCGAGGGACCTGTAAAAAACAGGAGGAGACAGTAGAAACCGATAAAACCCCTGGTCCTGGGCCGTACAGACCGACAATGTGGCTTTTGCTTGCTGCTACATGGACATGCAGATACATAAGTCCTGCTGTGATCGTACTGTAATCTAAGAATTTGCAGAGAGGACGAAAGAGACACTGCAGCTAATAAAGACTTGGTCACCAGGTTACAGTGTAATCCATCAATACTGTATAACAGAATATCCAGAAGTTATAATTCTTGCAAGATGTAATGTCAATGGTTTATTCACCATGCTTCACTTTCACTATGCAAAAATAATAATTGGGAGAAGTCTACTTGTAGGATTAACACACTACTGATGCAAAAGAAAAAGAGAGAAGAAACCGTCAAACTGTGAATGGGGTTAATCTATCATTGACAAGCTTCAGAAAAATTTTAAAAAAACTCTTGTCAACGAGCTAAAACAGAACTTACACAGCAATAAAACCTCCGGAAAATCCTGATGTTGATTATTATCAAACTTACATAACGTTTAAACAGCAATTTCAATATGACTATTAAAAAAACTTGAGATTGTAACAAAGAATCTTAAGCTTGTTTGTAAAAATCTTAAGATTCTTTTAAAAAAATCTTGAGATATTTCGAGATTGTCAGAAACAATCTTGAGATCTTTCAAAAAATCTTGGGATTGTTTTGGAAAATCTTGAGATTGTTTTGGAAAATTTTCCGAAACATCTTGAGATTTTAAAGAAAAATCTTAAGATTTTTCGATTTTTAACGATGCGTGACGACCCCCGCTGGGGATCAATATGACAGGGAAGTTGTTCACAAAATATTAGCATTGTAAGTATAAGCTGAAGACAGCTAGAAGCATTTGTCCAAAGTGCTCTGGAAAGTCCAAATTTAATCTGGACGCTGTTAAGAGTATTCTTCCACAATCTAAAGCAAAAACATTTTGTATGACAATTATTGTGTAACGTTACAACATCAGCTGGTGTGTTACGCTGAAGGACGGTTATACCGGCTATGCAGATACAGAAGCTGGTGTGTTACGCCGAAAGGCGGTTATACCGGCTATACAGATACAGATACAGAACAGATAGTTACCTTGGGCAGCCATGTTTGACGTCTAAAGTTCCTGAGTCTATTCTGGCAGCAGAAAAATGTAGCAATCCTGGAGAAAATATAGTTCAAACTTCAATATCAAACCAAAAGTAATGATAGAAACGTTGGAGGCAGATATTACTATTAAATGTTTCCAGTATTGTTCAGTTCTTTCATGCGACGGATTTAGATCCACGCAAAACACTAAGGACGATGTTTCATAATAATTAAAACATAAAACGAGTTTGCCCTTACCTTTCTGATAAGTTGGGTCATGATTTTGATTCTATGATTGCCATGTTCTGGCAATGTCATAGTGGTGGCGGATAGGTATTGTGCTATGTGACTTACATTGTACACGTGTGTGCTTCCATTGGAACGTTGGAAATCTGATAAGGAAATTTCCGGCTATTACTAATGGACAATGTATTTTGTGTGTTTACCCAACCCAAACAGTAAACAGTTGAGGCTACAGGTTTCTTTCACTTTCCACCAAACATTACTTTATTTCTTTATTTCAGGCATAACTCGCCCATATACAACAAACATATAAAATACACACACAATTACATCAGTAAAAGAATAATATAACTATATGTACAGACGGGCCCAGTTATTGCGAAAGAATCTGCTACGGAATATCACTTCAGATTTAAGAACAGATTGGATAATGTTGTTTGATGACTTGTATAGACGGGATATAAATGAGTAACATTGTTTACGCCATGTAGCATCAAATGTGTCAATCCTATTGTATACAAACATTTCACTTGCACTACAAAATCTGGGTAGTGACATTATGATGCGAAGACAGTTATTGTAAGCAACTCGACACTTTGATACAATTCTAGAACTAGCTCTGTCCCACAACTGTGCAGCAAAAAGTTGGGAGCAATGAGCTGTAAACAACGTCTTTTTAACATATGAAGAACAATAAGCGAATTTGCGTATAATAGTATTTGCACGGCTATACAGACCTCTTATCTGGGTAAGAATACAGTCGTCGTCACTCGTCGTCGTCACTCAGTTTGTCATTAATGTGAATACTGAGATAAACATATGACGTAACAAATTTCAAAGGCTCTCCGTTCAATTTAACACAGGGAAGAGGTTGCTTAAGTAGCAAACGGGCACTTTGGAAATACATACAGCAAGATTTGTTTGCATTGAATAATACATCATTTATGAAACCAAATTCTTCACAAATATTCACGAGTTTTTGTAGAGCCTTCAGGCTTGGACAAATTAAACACATATCATCAGCATAAAACAGATGGTTCACCAAGTGACCACCTATATAACAACCAACGTTCGCATTACTAAGTCTAATACTTAAGTCATCAATGTAGATATTAAACAGAACAGGCGACAGCAAGCTCCCTTGCCTCACCCCATTTGACACAGAAAAACGGAGAGACAGGGTATTGTTCCATCTAACACACATTGATTGATTTTGGTACCAGTATGCAAGAAAACGTACAATGAACACAGGTACTTTCCTGTCTAGAAGTTTTTTAAATAAGGTCCAGTGATTTACTCTGTCAAAGGCCTTGGAGGCGTCTAAAAAACAAGTGAAGACAGGAGAACCAAGGCTCCTATAATACTCTATCGTCTGCTTCAAGGTGAAGACACACATGTCAAGTCCATGATGACGCTTAAAACCAAACTGGTGATCAGGCGAAAGAATGTAGGGCTCAAGGCGATTTAGTAAGATAGCCTCCAGGACCTTAGACAGAGCCGAATACTAGTACCATCAGAACTGTAAATAATCTAGTGTTCCCAGCCAAGGGTCTTTCTAGTCATTGGCCTGATATGTATGTACCCTGTTACTTAATTCTGAATGAATTAATTCTGGGACACAGTCATTTTCGACTGCCAAGGACTACCAATGGGACATTGTATGGCCCACCTGCTACGTACCCCTCCCAAATACATGTTGCTACATAATCTATCCATTGTTTATACCAAAACCTAGATCCAAACAATTGTCCTACCTTCCCCGGTCGACCTATAAGTACACTGTTTCCTCTTCCTTCCTGTTGAGTAAAGTGGTCAAGACTGGCCACCCCTCCCTAGGGCCCTAGAACTGAGAGTTCTCGCACGCCAGTCTCGTGTGTTCTCGCGATACTTTCTTGGGACAATCCCCCCGTATGATGTGCCAACATACGATCACACCCCAGGCTGTTACCTGTATACTAGGGTAACCTTTGACTTTGGTTGGACTTTGTTCGGCACCAGTGCATTCATGATTGGGAAAGCGCCAAGTTTCAATAGACTCACCTGGGTGTCGGGTTACATTCCACCAGGTTTGTTTACCTGTAGCTCTGCGGTCTCTATTGTGTACCAAAAATGTTTGAGGCTCAAGAGCTGGTTCACGGATTGTCATGATTTTTGGTATGTAGGTAGCTTAGGCCACACCAATTTAATTTGTTGGTTCTCGGATTCGCCTCTTCATTTTTTCCTGATTTGCAAAAAAAAAAAAATCAGAATCAACTGCAAAATGCTCATATTTTGCCCTGAACAGTTGAAAACAGTCCTTTTCTTCCTAGTCGTTACAGTTATTCCATCTTTCAATGCAGTGGTATCATTAGAAGTTCAAAATTCATTGTTTAAATTTTGAACCAGCCTTTTGTGTTGACTTCATACCTCCTATTGTAGCATTTGGGGCTATAATAGGATGCCTAGATCTGTTTTTTTTTTTTCGCCCTGTCGCTTCATATTTTTCCTGAAAAAATCCGAGAACCAACAAATTAAATTGGTGTGGCCCTAGGTGATGATTGACATAATCAGATGACAATTATACAAATTGGGATGTAATTTGCATGATTAATGAGGAAATCCTGTAAATCTGCTGCATGCCATGATAGGACTATCCAAACTTTTAGGACGAGGAACAATATTACTTACGTAGATGAAGACCTAATTTGCATAATTAATGAGAATATGATATAATTTCATAGTGGTGACTGAACCATGACTAGCCTGGGTGCCATCCGATTTGTAATAGCTACCCTCGATTTTTTCGGGGTAGCCGTTACAAATTGGATGGCACCCAGGCTAAACCATGACCACTTTTCTGTTGTGAATCTTGAGGACCACAATGAGTAAACAAACTTCAACACCTCTATTTCTGCAATGTATTTTCAACATGTACATGTATATACCCAGTAAGGTAACATTTGTATCACGTAAGATGCATGTACAAATTAAACTTGACACGTATAATCTGTGATCAGAATGTTGACGCAAAAATATCCTTAGCTACTGTAGGAGTCACACTCATGTTTTCCACTATGTGTACCAAACATGCAACTTACTCAGTTTGTACAAAATGTTCATAATTAACAATTTTAAGTCGTCTTTTTGCCCTTGTCTTCCATGGTCTATGTACAGTTGGTACAATATTATATACAGCATATTCGAGTGCACTGTACTTTGTGTATCTTGGTTAAGACTGCAATTATATAACGTACAATTTCTGACCTGTACAAACTCTCACATGTGATCAATTCATGCATGTTCCAATAACTGACCTTCTAATTTGGTAAGCAAAACAAAAGATTCAAGCCAAGAGGGTTGTTTGAAGTTTATGATACGTCAGGCCTCGATGAACGTTAATGTTATTTGTTACTATCAATTCATAAGCTAGTTTACGTCAATTCCCTCCCCCAAACCTTGTTGATTTCATATTCAAAATTCAAGTTTCTCAAATCAACAATCTACTACATTATTCAATTATAATTATGCTTAATTATCATTCAAATCAATGCAAAAGGTAGATGCCATGGATTAGTAAGGTACCGCTACCGTTGTAAATGATTTCATCAGGTGGGTAAATGACTGTTGTATAACAAAGTTCTTCATTCACAACCAAAGACGGTTTTCAAGCTGACGTTTCGGTAACTGTCACATTCCTCTGGGCAATACTGACAAAGTAAAGTGAATTAGAGCCAGTCAGTATGTATTGCCCTGAGGAAGGTGACAGATGGTCACAAATATATCGGCTTGCAAAATTTTTTACCTAGCATTGTTATGCACCATTACCTTGTTTAGTAGACTGAGTGAGTGCCATCAGCAAACAACAAAGGAATATCTTCCAATCTACACATTTCCAAAAATAGTCAAGCATAGGACATAGGATATAGGGATTTTCTTCTACATGACCAGTATTGTCTCTTGCCATCTTCAGAGCTTCTGATTGGAGTTCTGTTTCTCACTGCTATATGTAGCCAATGTAGGTGCCTCTTTTGCGGCAAGAACACAATCCAAAGCAGAACTCCAGTCAGAAGCTCCAAAACGTCAGCAAGTTTAATAAGAGACAATACTGGTCGTGTAAAAGAAAATCCCTCTATCCAATCTACACATTATAATATTACCATAATAGCAACAATAACATATAATCAATATGGCTGCTGACTCAGCGAAGTTGTCTGTTGAAGGCGTTGTAGGCAGACTCCAGGTCGAAGAGCATCTGTCGGACCTGGTTGTCGTCCAGCTCATCGTGAGCCTGCATGTTACTGAACGTCTGAAGCCTGGAGGGGAGATAGCGAGAATGTGTCATCACTCTGTTCATATACTAGTGAATAAACATAAACTCTAAATCTTAAAAGTATGGACGAACAACAACAAATCGCTAAACTTTCATTATGGTTTTTACAGTGACTGCATGACACCTTAATTTCACCACGCTTGTACATGTATGACTTACTGTTGTACAGAATTGTTTCCACTGGGAGATTAAAACATTATCTCCAAGCAGATCTTTCGGTGGCCGCAAAAGACAGTATTAAATTGGCCAGGCAGTATCCTAGCCACCCTGTGGTGGCCAATGGACACTCTTCTGGCCAATGGATACTGCCTTGCCACTGTATGATCTACTTGGAGATTATTTAAAACAGGTAAAACCACCCTTCCCCTTTACCATGAAATAAAACCAGTAGATGCAAAAGTTTCAGGATTTGTAGTGCCATGCCCATTACAACAATAGAGATTTATTGTCACATTCTCAGCATACCTACAGAACAAGATGGTCCTACAAGTAGTCAATCTTAACCATCAATTTGCTAGATGTACAAATGCGTTGATAAATCCTACCATCTGCTGACTGTAGTTTTTCCCTCGAAGTCAGGAGGCAGGGTGCTGAGTCTGTTCATGGTCTCCAACAGCTCACGCAGGTCTGGCTGGATCTGAGTTAGGAAAGAAAATTTTCATGTACAAGATTAATGACTTAATGTCAATCTTGTAAGGCTTTTCTCTATTTAGACATCCATGAAAGCTCTAGCTGCTGTAGTCTTGTAAAACTTGTGTCTGCTTGCAATTAGGGTCATATAACTGCATTTTACAGCCATTTTCATTTTATGTCCAGAACACGTTTTTTTGTATTTGTTACTCCAACCTTGCAGCTATGTTTTTATGTTTCATGAGAAAAGGATCCTTATAAGCACATTACAAGCACATTGTTTTCTGAGGAATGCTCACAAATCTATGTGAATAAAATAAAATAACTGCATTTAATCCATGTGGGCAAAAACATGCAGGTCTGGCTGGATCTGAGGTTAAGAATGAAAAATTTTCATGCACAAAGTCATTAATCTGGACACTAGCTGAAATAGAATTACAGTCTTTGTAATCCTAAGACTTTTCTTGCTTTAAAAATTCATCAAACCTTAATACACTTTGTAAGCTGCACTTGCATGTTTACTTGCAATAAGGTGGTGTTGTAGACAACAGATTTAGTGATAACAGACTGATACGCTTAGTAGTTTTGACTATTACTACATTACAGGGCCTGGTGTTTTACCTTCACACTCTGTTGTAATAGTATAACTACTGCATTTGGTCCATGTGGGCAAGAACATGCAAATGATTTCCACAGTGAAAAACACACCTCTGTCATTTCTACTCACCTCGTCCATGGCCCTGATTTCAAGCCTCAGCTTGTCCATGACTGTGATGAACAGCTGAAATAGAATCAGATTTGAAATCAGAAAAATTCATGTGCACTGAAACTTATAAAAAAGACCTGTAAAAAAACTTGTAAAAAAAGTCCTAGGAAGCTAACACTTGCCAAGAAAGCCAGGGGAAATCTGTAAAGGCATTGTAATGTTATAATAGTTTTTTTGATTTCATTATGTACACATGTGCAATAAACAGATACTAAAAAAAAAAAAAAAAGTAACATAATAACTGGATGCAAAAAACAACAAGAATGTCCAGGCCTTCCTGCATGGCTGGTGAGTGGTGACCTTATTCAACCTGAGATGTTGAAACATCTGTGAGTTTTACTTACCGAGACGATGTCTGCAATACTCTTGGACGTGTTGCCCTTGTCGTCCTTGATTGTGATTGGTCGATCCTCCTTTATCCTCTCTAGAGCAGCCGGGCAGTTCATCTGGGAGGAGAAATAAATGTGATTCCTCGTCAATTACGTTACTAGTATTCAAACTTAAAAATCTTCAAACTATTCAAACTTTAAAGCTATGTGTACCAAGCCCTTTATAAGGTCCAAGATATACATGTACATGCAGCAAACTGTCAGTGGTAAATTGTTGTCTTTGTATACAGGTTTAAATATTCTAAAATCTAAAAACATCTACATGTTTTATTAATGATTTGTTCAAATGCTAAGTTGTCAAAATTATCTTCTTTGAGATATTTACCTATCTTTAGTGTAAAAAAAATGTGTTTTATCTTGTTCAGGTACAGCTATATGTACACCAGATGTTCAGGCTTGGAGCTGTACCTAAATAATTTTACAGGTACTAGGTACACAGCTCTAGTAATATGTTTTTATGTTCATTTTCATTTTTTTTTTGCTTAATATGTCTTTTTTTGCACTTGTTGTAAACACGTCTAACCCCCGTTTTGGGGAATAATAACGTTGAAGTTGGATTTTGAAAAAATTATTGCAAACCACAGTACAGAAATCTCACCCTGTACTTCTTCATGAAAGCTTCGACAGTCTGGAACTCGTCACCTTTGACCTGCTTGAAGGCGACCTTGTACTGGGCCAGGAGCTTGGAGCAGGCAGCTGTGTACCTGGGAATAAAGGACATGTACATGGGTGTGTTATTGTATTGTACTGCATTGGATAATACATGCCTTGACTTCTACTGAATTGAATTGATTTGTTTATTGATGGTTTGAAATCCCAAGTACATAGCAGCGACAAGGTGCTGAATTGCATACACATAACAAATACAAAAGCCACAAAAAGAGCGGCCACAGCTGCATACGAATACAATTAAACAATGGCGTTGTTTGGTTTCAAAATTTCCGACTGGTTAGGCTAGTAGACACAAGATTGAGAGGTTGCAAGTTTGATTTCTAGCATTTCTGACTAGACGTTGTGTCTTTGGGAAAGGTACTTAACACGACTTTCTTCACTTCACCCAGGTGTAAAATGAGTACCTCACTTGGGTCAGGGAAGTGAAACAGGATGGAAGGAGGGTGATATGTTCTGCCTTATGTTCGGCCTTATATGTTTGTCCGGCCCTATTCCCGGACAAACCCCTTGGGCTCAACTCCCCCGTAGCGGTAATTTAGATAGGCGGGCGAAGGGTTCTTGGCTGCCGAAGGAAAACGGCTAATGGCCCGATACTAGTTTGGCATCCAGGGTATTCAATACCATGCCCTAGACACAGTGTATCAACAACAGTACTGCCCCTACAACTTCAAAAAGGCTATGTGACTACCTTTACCTTTATCTTTTACCTGTTTATTACCAATGGTACCATATCATTTCCTTTGTTGTGTCAGTTCAGTTCAGTACACTAAAAAGTGCTAAAAAGTGCTATGTGCGGTTTGTCTTCCCTCAGATTTCCCCCAGACTTTTATCTGATTTCAAAGAAAAAAACTTGACGTACTCCTCAGGTCTGATGGCGTCCTTGATTTAAGTCTTCACTTCCTTCAAATCAACAAACAAGTAAGATAGATTCTGTTATAAAGCCAGTCTTTAGTGACTAGTCTCCCTTGACGGCTTGAGACTTTATCACTATTTCATGACTAAAAAACTAGACCTACTCCTCAGGTCTGATGGCATCCTTGATATAAGCCTTCTCCAGATTCTGTAGTGTGTTGATGACAGCGAACAGCTCAGCCTGGTTATCGTAACGCTCTCTCTCACGGGACGTACGATGGAGCTTCACTTCCTAAACAAATCCACAAACAAGTAAAGATTACCACAGAGAGAGGACTCTCAGTACTTATGATATCACTATTCTTTGGGTAAGATCTCAGTGACGGCAATCAATGTACAAACATTAACTTTCCTTGACACCAACTTGCATTATCTTCTGTGTCTGTGTCTGTATTGCTGTTATAACTGTCTTTGGTATATGTGTAAGTTAGAAACACACCTCCTTTGCAAGCTTTGCAGCTAAAAACTGGTCGAATCACACTGAAGGACCTGGTACACTTTGCACATCTAAAATATATATCCAGTCTACACACTATACATGTAGCATTATTCTTTTAATTGAAGTACAGCACCAATTAAATTGTCTAGAAATGCATAGCGTAGCATAGGTCTTTGCTACTGTCCTGCAGTTACGATAATATTAGCATACAGCAAAAAGATAGACTGCTTACCTCCATAAGCTCTGGCCTGTTGGCAGCTGAAATAAAACAGACATACAACATGTTAATTATTACAAAGGCAAAACAAATTGTTTCGTGAAGATGGTGAATATGATGATGACCATTGGTAATGTTACATGTATGTTGATTATTAGTTAGGAAATGTTCAACAAATATCCCTAACATGGTAATACATACATTTGTAAATATAACGTTACTGTTGCTCTATTTTTGTCACTTCATCTTACAAAATGATGACAAGATCAGATAGCAAAAAAGGAGCTTCCTTCTCTCTCTTCTCTTGTAATAATAGGGTTGAAAAGATGCGTACATAAAGTAACATATAAAACTCTAAACCTATTTGCATCATTTTCTATGCTCTCTGGGTTTTGGTACAATATAATATATATCACACAAAAATATTTGATGACACATCCCCTCCCCAAAAATCTAACAGTAATTACACCTAACGTTACTAGTATTAAACACAACCAGACAAAAATACGGCCAAACAAAGGATGTACAAAGGTACCAACCTGGGTTAGGGTTTGCATGTACTCCCTGGAACATGCCTGACGTGTTGTCTTTGCTTTGGTTTGAACAAAACGATGGAAGGACGACAAAAACCTTCAGTTCTCTTCCAAAAGTCTACTTGTCACTTCCGTGTCGTGAGGCTGAGTCAGTATACGTCATCGGAACATTCTAACCTATCCCTTGATAGGTAGACTATATTCTTAAAACTATCAAAAAAATAAACAAACACGCTACAAATTCTAATTATACAAAAGTATATTAATTATAAATTATTCAAATATTTTATTTCTAATCTTTAAATCAAATTTAGTATGCATTTTAGGTAGCTACGTAAGTAATAGTATGATGCACACCCCCATTTATATATTGACTAGCCCTGCGGTCACGTGACAGGTAACAAAACAGCAGCCATCTTGTTTCTTTGGTCTTTTCCGTCAAAAATTTGTCTGTTTTCAGTTTTTTCGTCAAAGTTTGTTGAGATCTGCGTCGTTTGAACACATCAGATCGCAATGGGAGGATCAAGTAGCCAGTTTACGCAAGAGGAACTGAAAGAATATCAGGTAAAGTTGGACGTTACGTGACTTTTCTGTTGCTTTTACTTTCAGTTTGTCTTCACAAGCTTGTTTAGTCTAGTTGGCTGGTCGATTTCTATCAAGTTATGACCTAAATTATGGTTTCCTTTAGCTTTACTAGATATTTTCGAACTGTCACAATCAAGCAGTTGGTAACTGAAGATATAACCGTTAAGTCAGATTAGCATTAGGGTGTATTGTGACTTTGTGATTAAATGCAAAGTTGAGAAGCAAGTTGTAAAGTCAAAGAATCAACAAGGAAATGACTTTTAGAAAAATTTTTGATTTCGACTTATTCGTGATAAAAATTGCGTATCTCAAGGTTGTGTAGCTCAAGGTTGGAAAAAAGAAGATGTGCCAACGTGTACCACTTTCATTCGACAGAGAATTTGAAACACAGTCATCCATGACAGCCTAATAAGACATGTATAGTACACCTGTTGTTAGTCACTGACCAAAATTTGGCACTTTGATATTGACTTCAACTCTTAGACTATGGTCCTTTCATTCTTGTAAAAAATCCGGGTACAACAAAGTTATGTGAGCTCTTCTACAACTTTGGCATTTTTATTATTTAAGCTTTTTAAAGTCCTACATGAAAATATATCTTATCAACATCCCACTTGTTTCAGTGTTTGAAAAAATTACTAGTAAAATGGAAGGAAATAAAGAAAAAGGGAGAATTGACAGGAGATGATTTTATTTTAAGCTAGCAAATTCAGTCCTTCAGAAGATTTTCCACATTCCACATTCTTTCCTAGAACTATCGCAGAGTGGAACTCACTGTCACCAAGTACAGTAGGGGCATTGTCATTAGATAGCTTTAAACAATGTCTAGAGTTGGATGTTCAAGAGTTAGGTGTAACAAGTCGTTTGGTGTAATGTAGCCAGCTGCCACAGCGCCGCGTGCCTGCAAAGCTGGTGAATTATGCCGAAAGGCGGTTATACCGGCTATACAAACACAGATACATGTATATAATTGTGAGCAGGAACCACCTTGCACGGTGACCCCTGACCTGGGGTGGGGTATCAGGTGTCAGTCCCCCACCATTGTTGTAGCAGGTCGTCACAACAGACTCCCCGCCCGGCTTTGTTTTGTCGGACCTGATTACACAGAAGCAGCACAGCAGCGTGACTTCTGGGAACGCCCAATTAAAGTGTATTCATGATGCGCACACTTGGTGTGAACAAGCCCACTTGTGTACACACAACTGTTTACACATCTCTAGTCTCTACCATGCAGATTGCAAGAGATGCTTTTTAAAAGTTTCAGTTTGGGCTAGTAAATCTAGTCTGTCAGATTTTCCACAAACTGTTCTGTATTCACGGCACATACACACTTGGTGTGAACAACCCCACTTGTGTACAGTATACAGTAGTATAGTTCACATCTCTAGTTTCCACCAGACTTAGAAGAGATACTTTTTTAAAGTTTCACTTTGGGCTAGCAAATCTCTGTCAGAAAACTTTCCACAACCTGAACATTCTGTAGACTCCCCGCCCGCCCTTCGTCGGACCTGATTACACAGAAGCAACGCAGCATGACTGCTGGTAGCGCCTAATTACAAACCTGTTCTGTATTCACATCGCACACATTTATTTGTTTGTTTGTTTGTTTGTTTAGGATCTCCATTAGTGTGAATTTCACACTACTCTTCCTGGAGTCAGTAGTGTATAATCAGATAAGTATTTGGACCATCGCACACTGGGGCATGCCCCTATACTCTTTTTCAAAAGGTGTGGTGGGATCTTTAAGTTTAACGTGCGTGGGGTGTGGCTCTCCCCAAACACAGGACCTACATTTAATGTCCTGTCCGAGGGACGTCCCTCACCAAAGTTAGGTACTCATTTACACCTGCGTGAAGTGACTTGGTGTGAACAAGCCCACTTGTGTACACACTACACATCTCTAGTCTCTACCAGACTATTTTGGCTAGTAAATTTAGCCTGTCAGAAGACTTTCCACAACCTGTTCTGCATTCACAATGCACTCACCTTGCCAAACTGATTACACAGCAGCAGCGTGACTTCTGGGAACACCCAATTACAAACCAGCTCAGTATTCACAGTATCATTGGTTTATTTCAAACACAAACACAAATCACAATACAGCTCCATCACTAGGCAGCCACAAGGCTGAATTGCGTGAATAAAAGCTTTAGACAGTGAAATAAAATCCTGATCATCATTCCGTGTTGTAAAAACAGTCATTAAATCATATTAAAATCATACATTTACACAGATTATTCATGATTTAAAATGTGAACAAGGTACGGTAATGTACTTTTGTTGTACCGCTCTGTGCGCGCTGGCAATTGGTCAAGTTTTGCATGTTGTCTAGTCATCCTCCCACTGACACTACCCCTGGTTTGTGGCAGCCAGTGTCGGTAGAGGGTAGAAGCTTGTATGTTGTTCGCAAACTGTCTGCACAGGGCTATTCTGCGATCTTCTAAAGTCTGTAGCTGTAGCGTCTCCAGTGCTGACTTGTAGTTCGTGAACTCCTTAGCAAGGATGATTCTGGTGGCTCTTCTTTGTATGTTTTCAATCTTCCTTCTCTGTGCTTTGGTCAAACCAGGGTGCCACACTGACAGAGGCGCGGCATATTCCAACACAGGACGGACGAAACAAGTATATGTAGTAAGAAGATCTTCAACGGGCGGGTTGAATTGGCGCAAACGACAGTGCACCAGACTTGGTGTGAACAAGCCCACTTCGTGTACATACTACATCAGTAGTCTCCACCAGACTACATAGCCTCCTCTACAAGTGGACTGTAGGGTCTCCAGTTTACTGTAAACATGTAGTCAGAAGTTGGCCTAAATTAATGGGACATACTCTGTCACTAACAATTATGATGTCCAAAATAAAATTAATATGGACCAAAATATGGCCAAGTTGAGCTGGAAAACTGACCATATTGTATATATACACACTGCCCCCTCCATGTATAGGTTAACCGTTAAGTCAAGGATTTAAAGACTGTGTCATGGAGGAAAGTTCATTTGTTCAAACAAACACAAACACAAACAAAGGCATTAGACTCCACATCTATCATATTCATAACTCAAAAGTTAGCCAAATGTCAATTGCATCAAATTACTAAAACATATAATGTAGGTAAACTTTTATTACTACAATGCACATTGTAGGTTGGGCCATTGTTCATTTGATAGAGATGCTTACATTGTGTAAACATTCCTCTATGTTTTTTGTGTTGCAGGAGCTGACTTATTTCACAAAGAAAGAAATTCTACAGTAAGTATTCTCTTGTAGCATGTTTTGTGATGAGGACTGTGCTCAACATGCATTTTACATTTTGTACTCAATCGTAGAAGATAAATTTATGACTTCTATTTTGACATGCTAAAAGAATGGATACACACATTTATTGAATGTTGATAGAGACTTGCTTGTTGTTATACTTTTTTTCAATGCTGCAGTCTGAAACCAAAATTAATGCTTCTAAAGATTTGACGTCATAAGTATTTTTTTTCCTTTTCACAGTGTTTTTAAGAGGTTCTATCTCCTGGACCCTCCGAGTGTCAGAGCCAACAAGAACGCCAGGCTGCCCAAGGAGAAGATATGGTCCCTTCCTGAGTTAAAGGTACAGTTATGAGGGCCTGCAAGGGGGGGGGGGGGGTCCCGATAACGCTCTACACTGATTTCGGAAACCTCTCGATTACGCTTTTACGATAAATTTCAAGTGGCTACAATGCATTACGTAGAATTAAAACAGCGAATACGCTCTACACAAAATGCGCCAATTACGCTCCTTGGAAAAGGGCTTGCGGGCCTCCAGTTATCAAATACTACTATTATTATACTAGTAAACCTGGAATTCTTTTATTTCTGTACTTCAGTATCAAAGTCCCTGGAAACAACTGTCTACAGCCGCCATGCTTTTGACATGAAGCATGCGGACAATTAATTGATTGATTGTTGTGTATGTTATGTGTCATATGTATGATTTTTTTGTAGTCACACTGTATCAGTATCTTCTGTGATTTTATGTATTTAGGGCACTGAATGTTTGGGATTACAGGAAGACAACCTAGTACAAATAGATAAAAGCAAAATGTTCTTTCTTCATCTATCAACTGCTTGACACCAGGTCTTAACAATGTCTGGAACTTCGCACGCAGGTGAATCCGTTCAAAGATCGGATCTGTGATGTGTTCTCATCGTCAGGGGACGGTGACCTGTCGTTCGAGGACTTCTTGGACATGATGTCTGTGTTCAGCGATGCTGTACGTATTTATTTCATCAATGTTTGTGTTGAAGGCTGGACACATGTATTTTGTTTAGTGAAGAATCCTGATGCCTGCAGACAATTGATTGACTGAAGGATGCATAAATTTTTCAATATTTCTTTATAATTCATTTGTGTGGATATCTGACTCTTGTTACACAACCAAGTCTTCTATTCAGCCGACGTTTCGGTGACCATCTGTCACCTTCCTCAGGGCAATTCTGACTGGTTCACAATATATCACATTGCACAGCAGCTCAGGTGCCGCTGCTATAGATGCCCATGTGTGTGGATATCTATAGAATACTACCTCTCTGACTTTGATATTCTAATGTTTTCATCCATATTCATATAGTAACATGTGTTGTGTGTAGCTTGGATGTTTGAACAGCATTTTCATAACAATTTTTTCATCTGCAGGCACCCAAGAATGTCAAAGTGGAATATGCCTTCAAAGTTTATGGTAAGTGGAAAGATTTTATATGATTTAATTTATTTTGGTTTTTACTAATTCTGACAAGGCATATGAATGTTTTTACTTCCATACTCTTTGGCAGTTCAGCTCTTTCATACACAAGCACAATAAGCCCCTTACTTTCTTCTGCACCAGACTTTGACAGCGATGGTTACCTGGACAAGTCAGACCTGAAACAAGTGGTGGATCGACTGACGGGAGAGCAGAAACTGAGCGACACAGAGATGGAACAACTCGTGGACAACGTACGCAACCTTTCTTATATTTTTTCTTGTTCACATTTGTTTAAACATGATTGGGCCAAAAGTAGCAAGGCTTATAAGACCCCCCCCCCTCCTCAAAACATACATTACTTATTTGTCATTCAAATCTAAAAACAATACATTTAAGAACACCAGCAATACACATACAGAGAAAATACAAGATGGATGAAGAAAATAACGAAAAATGGCCCTTACTTGCACTATAGTTGTCGGAATGTGCATCCTTTAATGTATATGAGTATGTGTACAATGTATTAGAAACATCAAAGCCTTCAGTTTTTCTACTGTTGTTACTATACCGAGGGGTAATGTCTACCAACATAATTTCATCACAAGTCACATGCACATATATATTCTGGAAAAATGCATCCAAAGAGATCTCCAACACAACATCTCCAGTAGACTTCAAAACTGTGCATACCTGGGGGTGCTGCACTAGAGATCTCTCAAACACACTGTTTTTCAAAGAGGCAGATATATGTAACTTGGCAGATAAATAGTAATGGAAATAACAAATGCTGTGTCCTTGCAGTTGTTTGAAGAGGCAGATCTGGATGAGGATGACCAACTTTCCTTCGCTGAGTTTGAGCACGTCATCTCCAAAGCCCCTGACTTCATCAAGTAAGTAACAATCACCCCTTTTTTAAAAACAATTTTTCCTGCTAACTTACGCTTTATTGTTTTCATGTTCAGGCCATAGGTGTTTGTTTGTGTGTGCATGCATGCGTGTGTGTGTGTAGCCTAACTAATCTCAATATTTCATGTGAAAACTTTTAACTGATATTTTTGTATCCTTGATGCAAAATACAAACTGCTTGCGTGTTGTGTCAGTGCCATGGTATAATACTGTCTGCAAAACTGGTAATGCAAGCCTGTCGTGTAGCTCATTTGTGCTCGGACGTAGGCAAAATAAGTACCATGTAAAACCAGAGCTTCATTTTTGGTTGTGGTAACGTCACACCAATTCAATTTGTTGGTTCTCTGTTTTTTTTTTCAGAAAAAATATGAAGCGACGGGAAAAAAACAGGTCTAAGGCATCTTATTATAGCCCCAAATGCTACAATACGAGTCATGAAGTCAAAATGCTGGGTTAATATTTAAGCAATGAATTTTGAACTTTTAATCAAGTCACTGCATTGATAGAAGGAAAAAAAACTGTAGCAACTAGGATTAAGAAAATGACTTTCCTCAATTGTTGGGGGCAAAATATGAGCTTTTTTTTTTCAAATCAGAAAAAAATGAAGAGGCAAATCCAAGAACCAACAAGTTAAATTGGTGTGGCCTAAGGCTTGATCGCGTAAAACTTGTGAGAATCGACAGAAAATGTTGTTTTGTACAAGATGTGCTCGTCTAACAGAAACCTGTGTTCCATTTCAGCTCATTCCGCATCCGTCTGTAAATGTGAACGTCATCATCTTAACCACTCACCACTACACTACATGTACCTGTACACTACATGTACCTGTGCATGAACTGCCTTCACCAGTCCTGCATGTGCCTTAAATAATGTAATGCATGGCTCAATTTTAATGCAATGTGAATGCTGAAACTTCTGTGGTGGTTTTTATCTTAAAATTTCAATTTTCAAGATGACCTTACACTGCGAAATTAAAACACAGTGAATGTGTACTGTACCACAGAATTGTTTCAACGTGAACTTCTAACACAGCAAAAAAAATTTTTTCCTGATACTGGAAAATAAAACCACTGAGTAAGTTTCTGCAATTTTGGTATCTGGATTACCAGTATGCAATCTACTACTGTAACTTGTAGTTGATTGCATATCCATGTCTGGAAGTTGACAAAAGAACCGTACAGTTTTGTCATGACGATCTGCAAAATGTCTTTCAAGCAGTTTTTTGTCCCCATGTTTCTCAAACATTTTGCTTGTTGTCACTAACCCCATGTGTATAGTTAATATCTGTCTAGTTTGGAATATGCACGTAAAGTCATAGAAATGGTTTTAATATAATTTTGATATGTTATTTCCTTGTAAATATCATGCAAAAGGGATGGAAGTTTCAGTGCTTTTTCAAATGAAACTGACCACATTTGTTTTGGAACAGAAAGTTTTTGTTACAAACAAGTAAAAAGTGTCCAAATTGAGTTGACTGTGCCTTGAACAAAATTGAACAGTGCAATCTCCAAAGTTTTCCAAGTGTCATTTTAAAGAAATGAAATTTTTGCGTGCATGGTGTTGTTTTTCAACTTGATATGGAAAAATGTGCCTTCTTTTCAGCAGTGAACAAAAAAATAGCCTATCTGAATACATGTACTTATCTGAAACCTCTATAATAATATGCAATATGCATAGTAATTTTACAGAAAATGACATTTTTGCCAGTGGATGCTGAATGCTGAATCATGTTTGTCTTTGTGCAAAAGTTTTACAATTGATCTCCAACCTTTATAAACAGAACCGTTGTACATATTTTACTAATTAAATGAACAAACTACTAGTATCTGAAGATACTGACTAAAGATTTTAACATTTATATAGTTCTCACCATGAGCTGTGGACTAGAATATTATACTTGTATATAATACTAAACCTTGGCATGAACTTCTTAGTCTTTGAAAAGGATGGAATGAATAGCATCTGACTTGTACATTTTCTGACTCCCATATAATGTTGTCAGTCTATTTGTATAGAAATGAACTTGGCTTGATATGTATCTATTTGATAGATTTGATCCTTTGTGAACTTGATTTGTAAGATATGAAAAAAATGAATATGATGCTTGATGTGAGTAGTAACGTGTGTTTTGTCAGAAACATAAGTAGTAGATTCATGTGAAGGACTTCTGTCAAGCACTGTCGTGTTTTAGAATGGAATAAACTTGCATGTGTTTCAACATCATTCATTGTTGTCATTTATTACCTCCGTATATGGAGGTTAAGTTTTGTACATGTAGGTAATTATTTTGGTCCGGTAGTTTGAAGTCATTCAGTGAAACCGACCGCAATGAACGGCTTCTCTGACAGGACCATCCTGTCAATAGTGCAAATTTTCCGCTATTGACAGGCTATTGACAGGATGGTCCTGTCAATAACAGAAAATTTTGCACTATTGACAGGATGGTCCTGTCAACAGTATATTTTTTCTGTTATTGACAGGACCATCCTGTCAATAGATGGTCCTGTCAATAGTGCAAAAATTTTCTGTTATTGACAGGACCATCCTGTCAATAATGAATATTTTTCTGTTATTGACAGAATAATCAACATTAATTAAATTACTATGGTTTGAATCTGAAAACAAATAGCAAGCTGTTTAACGTCAACAGGATCATTCCGATGCCTTCCAGCCCTATGCAAATGAGTGTTACCCCCGCGTTTTCACGTTGCATTCTGGGGATGGGAAACTCGTGAATGATTTTCAGTGGGTCGAAGCTCGAAGCAGTTTGAAGTGAGTCACTTCAATGGGGAAATCCCCATATACTAAGTGACTCACTTCGAACTGCTTCGACTCTCTGAAAAACCGTCTTTCCTGTCGAAATGCGAGCGATCATGCCGCGATTGAAGGTAGCAGAACACAGTTTTCGCCCTATGGGGATTTCTATAGTTAAGGACCCCAAGATGACTCACTTCGACGCGGTAAAAATTATAGCAGGGTGCACTTCACAAATACGGAAATCGAATATGTTTGAGAAGAAGGTAACGTTTGTTACAAACTACAAAATATCTAGAAACCAAAAAATCCTGTCGGCGTATCTGCTCGTGACGTACACTTTGAAATCGCCTCCTACGGACGTGACCTGAACTGCAGCCGACTCACCCGGAAAGCCAGTTGCACAATGCGGCGCATTTATACACGAACTGCAAAACCTTCACAAATCAAATCATACAGTCTCAAACCCGATACATTTCTACACCACACAGCACAATTTACACCTGGCTGACGCTCTTATCAGGCTTTCTACCCAGCCTTCAAGAATATTCGCTGCACTACTTTCTATACCCGCGTCATTCTATACCCGGGGGTCGCCCATTAATACTGTGACCTGCTACCTTCAAGCGATTCAAGCGAGCCGGTCCCGAAGATACCCGAAACGGGCGGGTGCCGAAGGCACCCGAAGATCGGCGAAGCCGATCAGCGAGTCCCGAGCGAGGCCGAAGGCCGAGCGAGGGACGAGCGTAGGTAGGAAACGTCATTTCAAACACCCTAATTTTCGGCTAATTTCCTCACCACAGACGGTTGTTTACGTTGCCATTGTCATGTTTGATATCTTATTTGCCCATGGAAACTATCCAGTTGATGATATACATATTACAAAGGACGATACGCGGCATTTTGTAACGCCCAAAATCCTTCATTTCCCGGTATGTGCGTTACCAGCAGTTTGCTATGTTACCGCATCGCGGCGCTGCTTCACAAAACAGTGACATCATTGGTAGCCAATCAGGCTTCAGGAAATTTGGTCTATGACCCCGAGTTCCCGCCAAAGCTGTTTTTCCTGCTAGCCTGTCTGCACAAGCTCGCAGAGGCGGAGAATCGGTAAGAATTGTCATTATTTGAAAGTTTTACTGTCGTTAAACTTCTGTATCGAAAAGATAGACGCATAGAATAGTAAACAAAGAGACTGGTATGTTAGTTATCAACCTGACTGGGCCGATATGGCCGATAGGCGGGGAAAGTGAGGGAGGGGGGCGCCCATAGTGTTATATGCTATGAAAAATTTAATTTTTTTTTAAACCAAACGGAGTGTGCACGTGGCTTTCAAATGACGAAGCAATTGAAATTTTGTTGTACTGTTTATGTGTTACAGGGTCCTCTCCACGTTATTTTCCAAGTCTTCTGTATGCAAGCAATGATGTAGTGGGGCAGGTTTGCTTTTGGTGGTTGTAGTCGCGTAGTAAAATTAGTGTAGTTTTCTAGTTCCTTTCAATAGCATTACGTTACCTGTGTAACGTTATTATAATTTTTTGTTCATTGAGTTACACGATGTACTAGGTACACATTTTTGTACAGTGAGTGGAAATTGTTGTTCGCCTGTAGTTTGAAGATGTAGTTACCAGTGTGTATTGTATTATTTTTTTATATTTTCTTTTGTTCATTGAGTTACACTGTGCTCATCAAGCAATGATGTGCTAGATGCAAATTTTTGTACTGTGGGGGTGGTATTGTTCTAGGCCCGCTGTCAGATGGTTTCTCTGTCCCCGGAACAACTCCATGTTTGCAGTTTGGCTGATGATTTCAACATTTTTGTCACTGGTCGGGCGGGCAGTGGCAAATCTGTTGTAATCAGACGCATAATTGCAAACATGGAGTTGAAGTTTGGTAAAGAAGGCGTTGCAGTTGTGGCTCCCACGGGCAAGGCGGCAGTCCTCATCAATGGACAGACAGTCCACAGCTCCTTCTGCCTTGGCCTAGGCCAAAAAGAAGCAAACCAGATATTCAAACAGCTGGATAAAATCTCATTTGACCGGATCCACAAAATCAAGGTGATCATTTGTGATGAAGTGTCCATGCTTAGCTCTGCCATCCTGCAGAAACTACACACTCTACTGCAGATGATAAAGCAGAACCGTCTGCCCTTTGGGGGTGTTAGACTCGTGTTTGCTGGGGATTTCTTTCAGCTTCCCCCCATTGATCTCAGAGAGGATGAACTCACCCCAGACTTTTGCTTTTTGAGTGACACATGGGAGAAAGCAATCGATCTGTGTATATTCCTCACTGGTGTATATAGACAGGAGAATCCCCAGTTCCTAACAATGCTGGAGGAGTTGAGAATGGGTCGCCGCACACCTGAATGCCTTAGTCTGATGGCAAAGTTGACAAGACCATTGCCCAAAGTCGACATGCGATTGTATTCACTAAGACGAGATATGAATGCATATAATGAGCGTCAAATTGCTACAATTGAGGGCATGGAGAGGAGATATGTTGCACAGGACATGGGCACAGCAAAGGCAAGCCTTGATAAACTTTGTCAGGCCCCTCAGATTTTGGTTTTAAAGAAGGGAGCACCTGTTATACTCCTTCAGAACCTTTTCAGCATTTCTTCTAAACTGGTCAATGGCGCTACTGGTATTGTAAATGACTTCTCGAATGGACACCCATTGATTACATTTCAGACTGGGGAGACACATATCATAGAACAGCACATGTTTGGCTACTATGAGAATGGAAGGTTAATCGCGTCTAGGTGGCAGTATCCACTGCAACTTGGGTTTTCCATGACTGTCCATAAGAGCCAAGGCAGTACTCTAACCAATATGGAAGTTGTTGACATCCACATGTTCGCACCAGGTCAACAATATACTGCTTATACCAGGGCAACCTTGCCTGAGTCCTTCCGTGTGTTGCCAGGCTTTTCAAGGCATGTTGTCAAACCACACCCACTTGTCATCAATTTCTATAGAGGTAAAGTGCATGCCTTACGAGACCTGGTTACACCAAATATTTCCAAGGGAATGTTGTCCAGTGGGGAGGAAGAGGGGGGCCCAGTACACTTGGAGGGGGGAGGGGACCAAGTACACATCAGCAGCAGCACACAAGATCCCATTCTTGAAGTAGATGAAACCTTTCCCTCTATCGCCATCCCAGATGGCTATGATCCTTGTGTAATTATACAGTTACTCAAGGATGACCTTAGTCCATTTGAGAACCTACTTGATCTGGTTCTTCATCTTGATGTACAAAGAGAGAGCCTCCGGTCCTTGTTTGCATATCTGATTCTTCAATTGGAGGGGCTGTGTCAGGAAAAAACACTGGACAAAACAAGGGGGAAGGACGTAATAACAAGAAAGGCATTTACTTCTCACATAGGAAAAAATCATGTCACTCACAGGAGATAGGGAAGCTAAGGCTAGATGGAAACAAGAGACCAATACCTCCTTGCCACATGAAGCTGACACCGTGCTGACGAGGCTCATAACCGTAATATATAAACATGTGGCCAAAGTCAACGACCCAGCTTCAGAGTTGAAAGAGAAGTTGGAGTCTGACTTAGAGCAAGTTCAGCCAAACAGAACACATTACAATGCGTCAAAAGCTAACTGTGGCAAAGTGAGGTACCTCATGGGATGGACAGTCTACAGGGTCTTCACAAATCTTGAATCGCAATTGAAAACACTACAAAAACACACATTCAAGGGGAAAAAAGCAACAGAAACTGAGGCCAGAATCATTGAACTTCGGGCACTAAAATCCTTGTGCTGTTCCATGACGGGAGATCAGACCAGTCTGCAACTGAATTCAAGATACAAATTCAGTCTGGAACACATTGACAGGAGGAATAGGGGTGGACTGTTTGTTGTCAATGACAATATTTTCTTGTTTGGCATGGCCCTAGAGTCACTTTGTGGGAAACTCTTCCGGGTAGAAGTAGTAGACATTCTTCGGAAGGAGTCCACAAAGACTATCTCCAATATTGTGAGGAACAACCAACTCCTGAAGACGCTTTTTGTTCAGTATTTGAACAATGACTACATACCTGATGTCCAGATTACCTTGTCACACATACCAGTAAACATGGAGGAGGACCCTGCATCAGTACCTGAGGTGGATCCAGTACACATGGAGGGGAAGTGGATCCAGTACACATGGAGGGGAAGGGATC